ACAAAGGAAGTTATAATCACTACGCAATGAATGAAATGACAGTGCGGATCTGTCTCAAATTCGCATTAGCATACGAACAGAACCGGTTGTCGATTGCATCACACAAAATAAGCAATAAAAACCAAAACAAAACAAAACAAATGGAATGAACCATATACGAATATGGGTCAACATGTGCCAAAGATATTTTTTCTTGCATCCCAATGATCGCTGTGTGATAACAAAGAAAACGAAAATCGTAATAAAAAAATATCTCAATATTTTTATTAAATCCTGTTCCAGATGTGTACCGGTTATGATACACATTCTTAAAAATCCGAGCTGTAAGGAAGAACATATTGTTCTTCAGAGCGGGAATAATTACAACACCCCTAATTATTTTTTTTAATTCGACTCTGGAATAATCTATAAATCATTGCTCTTCATTTGTCCGTTTAATGCTGAGGGGGAGATGACATGTCAACAGCTGCATTCTCCTCAAATTATCAAAATGCCAATTGCGTCATTTTTTTAATGTCAGCAAAGGTTGAGTCTAAAATTGAAATTATCAACATGCATAATGTCTACATATGTTACTGCTACTGCTGTTGTTGTGTTTTTATTTGCAATTACGCACCAATATAAACAGGATTATAACCCCCACGATTGCCGGTGTTTGCAATCGAATAAGAAAAAAGGTTTACACGACTCATTATACGCCTAACAACGCTACAAATAAATGTAAAGCGAAATAAAAATGTCAAGTTAACAGAAATCGGTGTGAAAATGTTCACTGTAACCCTTAGCTCCCCTGAAGGTTCAATTAGACATGGCACAATCATAACCAATCTTATGGAGAATAATGTAATTGATTAGTTGTGGCATTCCATAACACCATAGCCATAACCCTTAACGAGGTTACTCAAAATTGTTTATTTGTCATTTTTATATCCTCTCACCACACTATAGGGGGTATATAAAGTTTGTCAGACCCAACAAAGTATACATATTCTTGATCAGCGTAAAAATCTATTTGGCGATGCCCGTCTATCTGTCTGTCCGTCTGTTGTAATCACGCTATCTTTCGAACAAATGGAAATAGAAAGCTAAAATGTTGCACACAGGAGTGTTTTGTCAGTAGGCAGGTTAAGTTCCACGTTTTAATAGCCCCCATAGGGGGTACCTCCCAAATTTCGGTATTTTAATGATTTTAGCGATATTTTTACGGGAATTATTTCAAATTTCGTATTTAAAGTTCGTAATAGGTACTACAATCACTGACAAAAAATCGCGTATGCAAGTCCACGTCTTCGTATAGCCCCCGATATTCGGTAATTTGGTTATTTTAGCAACGTTATTAACTGGAATTGTTTCAAATTTCGTAGTAGAATTTCGTAATGGGTATGAAAAATTTCTTTATGCAAGTCCACGCCTTTGGATAGCCACCATATAATTTTGATAATTTTAGGGAAATTTTAAACCGTAATTTTTTTTAAATTTTGTATTTTGAAAGTATTAGGAAATTTTCAAAAAAAAAAAATATATATATTAAAAATTCTGTTAAAATCTTAAAAATACCGAATATCGAAAAGTGCCAATACATATTTGGGGGATATACGATATAGGTGACCTATACATATAATTATCTTCCAGGGAATAAAGTACCCACAAGGAACTCCTTGTGCCGATTTTCAGACAATTCCATTGGAAAATGTGGTTAAAACCATCAAATACAGAATATCGGGGGGTACTGTTATATGGGGCCTATACGATATCGTGGACCTATTTAGACAATTCTCTTTCAGGGGGTAAAGAGCTCACAAAGAACTCCTTGTGCAGAATTTCAGACAATTCTGTTGAAAAATGTGGCTTAAATCATCAAATACAGAATATCGGGGGGTACCTCCACGATATCGTGGACCGATATAGCCTATCTTCGAACTTGACCTGCCTGCAGACAAAAGACAGATCTGTGCAAAATTTTAGCATCCTATCTTAATTCATTTTAACTGTAGCGTGATTACAACAGACTGACAGACGGACGTCGTCTTAGAATTTTACGCTGATCAAGAATATATATTCTTTGTTGGGTCTAAAATTATTATTTCGATGAGTTACAAACGGAATGACGAACTTAATATACCCTCCATACTATATATGGTGGAGGGAATAAAAATCGCGTATGAAGGTTTACGTTTTCGACACCCCTTGATATTCAGCATTTTGGTGATATTAGCGGGATTACTTCAAATTTCGTATTTGAAGTTCGGAATCGGTACTACAGCCTATGAAGGAGGGTATTAAAAGTTCGGCCAGACCGAACTCAACTGCTTTTTTACTTGTTCTATTGTGTAAAGCCTGCTAAAGTAATAAAAATCAAGCATTTTTGAATATTAAGCATCCATGAAGATAAAATTAAATAAAATAAAATTTCCCAAGAAAAACTTTACCCAACAACTCAAAAATGTTATAAAAAATGTTATAGCCAAAAACTCAAAAATGTTAGGGTCGTATGGTCTAATCGAAATATTATTGTCAGTTGTAAACAAGGTAGAATGATAACTTTTTGAGGCGGCGGGTTCTTTTCTCGGCGCAATGCAGACCAACTAGTTTAACATTTTCAAACATATGGGGCTATACTATATTGAATATTTTTTGCGGGAAGAGATGAACTAACCTCTGAGAACCCTTAATGCAAATTACAGCAGATTTAATTGAATATTAAGGCAAAAAAACTGGGTGTCATACCTCAATAGCCATATATTTCATTTTCAATATCCTAGGAACAGCTATGCCTGTTCAAAATGTTAAAGCTATCCTGGGATCTCTATTACAATTTACAATAGAATTTTGTTGGTTTTGCAAATGGAGTGACAAATTTAATATACTCTCAATTTTATATTGGAGTTTAATACCCTCCAAATTCGCTTTACAAATCAACAAACACGTCAAACGACGTCTTCGACCTTCAAGTGCTAAATACTCCGTTAAAATCGAACTGATGAGATCTCGATGTGATACTCCTAAGTTTTCCAACACTTTTCAATTACTGGAAGAATTTATATATCCCGACAGTGGATTACTCCCATGCAGATCAGACGATTTAAAGTTCACTTCAATTCGAGCACATTCTCATGCACCTGACAAGTATTACAGGCTAATACCGAATCATGACCTAGCTATAAATAAAGGACAAATATCGTTCCAGTCGTGTCATCTATTTTCGGTGATTTTTTTGTACTTCTAATGTGACAGATTTAAATACGAACTTCTGATCGATTCATGCACAAGGACCCAACTATACCTGAGTCTCCAAATCCGAAAATACAGAGATAAATGTAAAATTCGCCCTGAGAGAACTAAGTTTTATTACTTAATGAACCCCTTGTTTGGAAATGAGATTTTTTGCTGGATTGGAATAATGTATATATAATACTATATCCAAATCACATTATTAACACTCACTTTTTTGATATTGAAAACAATCTAATTATCAAATCGTGAGTGTATTACGTGAATTTTGGCACCGGTAACTACTGACAGAAGTAGAAGTACTACTCAACACATTGGAAAAACATCTTTCTTTTAAAACTTATCTCATAAAAATCCATGGACACATTTCATAAAATATCTAAATCTAGCAGTATCATAAAAATTGAACGGCTTTTAAAACCTCAATTTCTAATCCGATTCTAAGTAGCACAGGAATTATGCCAAAGCAAAAATGTAGCATGTGTTGACTGCATGATGGGCAATTTTTATATTCCAAAATTATTGTTTTTGTAGATTGTGATTGTGGTGTTGATGGCTATGACGATGACGTCTTCGCCCGTTTGATTTTTGATTATTCTCAAAAAGTAAGAAAAAAATAAATATTTTTGTTGTCGTTGTCAATAAATGAATTGTTGTCTAGCTAGAGCATCCCCTCTGTCAACAAATCCATATTTTTGTATTTACGTTTGTCTTATCACTAAAAATAAACTAAATAAAGTGAAAACTAGTTTTAAGAAAGTATGTCGTACGCTGCTAATCTGCCATGCATTTGACTTTTTGGGGTATTGTGCAAATATATTAACAATTATTCATAAAATATTTGAAATTTATTTATAATATAAAGAATTATGGAAACTGCAGGATATAGGCTTTTTTCAAAAATGAAGTCGATTCCAAAATTTCTTGTTTTAACAAAGAAAAACTTAGGGAACCGATTAGAATTGGCGCTCAATTATACCATGGTAAACAATACAATTTTTTCTATTAATAAATGAATATTGTTTTTATGGGATTAAACTTCACAATCTTAAATAACAAAGCACAGCCTAAAATAGTTTCTAACAACACAAACACGAAATCATAAAGGGTGAGGTTTAAAAATAATATCCCACGAGGGATTATAAATCGTTTATGACCACCTGGTATTTTGATACCTATATTCACAGGGTATTTTAAAACGCAACGCTCTTATCAAGATCAAGCGGCAACTCTTTTAATCAATCGGATTATATTTTTAGCGTATTACGAGAATATTGGATAAATACCTCCATCTCTTGAACAGTGGCATTAATCTCGCCAAGACGCAAAAACCACCGCATCCGTCGCCGTGCCATCCGAAATCCATCATTTTTCGCTTTAAACGGTGGACATGCCATGGATGCGTGAAAGAAAATCCATTCACGTTCTCTCTAAAATACATATATTTCCTACTTCCACTTTTTTCTGTTTACCTCCTCCCAATGCCACCCCCTACATCTGGATGGAGGAAAAAAGTGTTCTTTGTTCCGGATAACAATGATTTGTGCGTACATTGGCAAATAAAACAGAGACGCCAAATCAATGGATTGGATGCATAATCATAAATGTGGACAAAAAGATGGCCTGATTCCCCCTCCCAACGCATTGTTGTATCGTAATGAGACGACGCTGCCTCTTCGAGGTTGCTGATCAGGAACAACAATAACAATAAACATAATAATGAAAACGTTTTTAATATAAAAGATCAATTCAATTTACAGCTGATCACCATAAACGCTGGAGATTGTCTAGAACAAAGTCGTCGGTTATTTTGTGTTGAGTAGAACAGCTCCGCGCTTGTTTAATTCGTAATTAGAATTTCAAATTGAAATTGAATCAATACAAACCACATCAACAACAACAGCAGCAGCTACCATTTTTTAAACAACACAACATAGTTTTGTGCAAAACAACTAGATTTGGTATTCCGGGCGTTATTCCTAATAAGTGGGGGTATGTACAACTGTGTCCAGATTATAATAACAACAACAATTAAATATTCCATTGTGACGTTTTGTGTTTGTGTTTTTTTCGCGTGTGATTTCTTTACAATATTTTAAATGAACAAGAAAAAAATAAGAACTTTTTACTGCCATCAAGCAAAAGTGTTATGATTTCGTTGGGGGGTCTTCTTTGAAAAAAACACATTTGGGAACACACAAGAAACCCAAAATACGACAAATATAACAAAGAAAAAAGTGATGGACCAAAAAAAAAAAAACAAAAACTACAATAATTAGTTGTTGATTAGAAAAATATTGGCAAGAAGACGTAAACATCTTTGCGGGCAGGGTTTGGAAATATACAACTAAATTTTACAGTTTCGCATCAGACAAATGCTAACCTGAAAATGTGTCGAAAATAACAATTCGGAACCATATTCAGTAGTGAAACAGCCAAATTATACAGTGTTGCGGGTAAAAAGGTTTTCTGAGAGCCCAAAAAAAAGATTTCGCGTTATATGGCAACCGTATCAAAACGTAATCATTTGCATGACAAAATTTTCCGAAAAGCAAATAAGATTAGTATATAATGATAAAAATTATGAGGAGTTTCGGGTTTTCATTTTTTTTAAATATCATTTGCGCCTTAATTAAAGAAAAAACTGAAAAAGTTCGAACTCTTGAATTTATTTAAAATGGAAATGGAATAAAAGCCTATCCCGCAAAAATAAATAAAAATATAGCATTTTATGTATATGAAACAGGACGAAAAAAAGTAATTCCATTGAATATATGGAATTCATTCAAACATCCAATTTCTAGTTTCATTTCGAAATTAACATGTTGCTGACTTTTTGCAAACATCTTAAAATGTGTTCAGAAATTCTGTCTTTAGTAAAGTTTTTGGTACCAAATTATCAGTTTTGATCTTTTGGATCACATTTGGACATTTTTGGCATTAATTTGTTCTCCAAGAAACAGCCACAATCTGTACACCCTACGCCACACTATCATTCAGCGTGTTATGTCTTTGAGTATTTGTTTGTAACCTGCAGAAGGAAATGAAATAGACTCATATACAGGGCGAGACAATGAACAGCAACAAAGTCAAACGCCATAATTTTTAATTTTTTTTTAAATTTTATTAAATGAAAGCAAAAAATCTCGGAAATAGCATCAAATTTTAGAATAAGTTTAGTTTTGTTCGAATTGGTTACCTTTGGCACGAATTATGGCCTTCAAACGGCCAATGAAACCATCTCACGCTGTCGGAATGTTGCTCTGTGATATTTTGGTCCATTCCCTGCAAAGCGCTTGTTTGAGGTGATCGGCATTTTTCTGATGCTACGTTCGATTAGTATGAGCACACCATCAACATGGTCGGCGCTTGAGTTTTGGTGGCCAACCGAAGGTCCACATTTTCAGCTGACCTCTTTGGCAAGTAAATACAATCATTTTGTTCGTTTAGAAACTCTTGCGGCGTAAGTTCTTGCACATTTTGGAATTTCAATGGCTTTACCCTGAGCTCATTTTTCAATATTTGCCGAATGGAATATTGCAATATGTTTAGCTCACGAGCCATTTTTCGGCCACTGTGACGCGGGTTTCGATGAAGTCGCTTCTTTACTTTTCGAACCATTTCTGCTGATGTTGCTGTTTTCTTCCGTCCACCTCCTTGACGTCGGGCTACGCTACCAGTATCACGCTAACCAGCGATGGTACGAGACACAAAAGATTTATTCACATTTAAATGCTGGAGTGCTGTAACGATGGCCACTTGTGATTTTCCAGCCAAATATAAAGAAATCACACTATCACGCTTGACTTCCATCACGAATAACTTTTTTTTTCTCACCAAAATGCTTTTGTATGCTTGTAAACAATATAATGATGTGTCACTGGAATAATTTTAACAGCTGTCGGACGAGTGGCTTAGAAATGATCCGAATAGAGTTTAACCTTTTTCTTATTTCTAATTTTTATTTTTGTTTTTGAAAAAAAATTGTGTAATTTGGACACACTGATGTCAAAAATTTACTCTGAAAAAATTTTCCGATTTTTCGTTTTTACAGAAACCATTGTTTGAAATTTCGATCAGTCAAGTTTATACATATATTTAGTATAACGGTGACATATATTTGGCAATATATCCTCATCATTATTTTTCCATTTATTTTTTTGTTATTTTTTAAAATTAATTTAAAAAAAAGTATCTAAAAATATAGGTTTCCCTCAGTGGAAGGGAGAATTTATTTATTTACTTATTTTTTTTTATTACTGACATATCACTCTTACTACATACACAAACATTTTTTTTAATTTAACCCTTTCCATAAATAATAAGGGTATTTTTATAAAATTAAGTAGGTTGATAAAATTTTACTAAAATGTATATTATGTTTGCAGGATTTTTGGTATTGAAAATGGACCATGTAGGTCCACGATTTGGTGTAGCCCCTATATAATGGCGCCTCTGTATTTTTGGTTTTTTTTTTGTGTTTTCCAAACGGTTTTAATTTATCTTTGTCTATTAGTACCGCGGGAGTACGTTTTTATAAATTTTTTGCCACAAAGTTTTTTGGCAAAGCCCCTAAATCAAATGAAGAACTTCCGATTTTTTCGATAGATAATACTAATGGTTCATTTTTCGTACCATTTACCACTTTCCTTTGTTATTAGGAGGTCCCTTTCGGTCCTCCCTTCTCTTTATCATAGTCTCAAAATATAAGAATATTTGAACCTCCAGCTTTGTACGGTATTTCAAGGGAACAACTGACATTTTCTGTTAGGGATTCGTGTACGCTTTTTATACAAAATGTGAAAGGTTTTTTTATTTTTTGCACTTTTATACTCTAACCCCTGTTCACTCTGGTACCATATTTAATACTAAAAGAATATAGATTAAACCGCTTCATCTTTCTTCGCATAAGGATGTTAATAAATTATTTGACGTCCGAGTTGCCTGAAACACACACAACAATATTGCACTAAATAAACCAAGAGTAAAATATTTGATACAATTTCCGAACATTTCTCATATCCCAATGACGAATAATATTAACAAGGAAACGACAATTTTAAATTGCGGTGTAAAAAAATTCACAAAATTATTATTTCCTAACACTGGCCAGCTTTGTTGTGTCGCCGGCGACACATATTTACTTATTTCGTTTTTTTTTTTTATTTATGTTTTTGTTTAGCAGCGGGAACTGGGGGCCAGCTGAAATAGCTGTTTACGTTCGAATTAGTTTATGGCTTTATTAAATTAATAAAAATCAACGTGTTGCGAATGATGATTAAGCGAATTGTTTAAAACGAAAACAAAAACGACAAAATGTTGTTGTGAGAATCTTTAAAACGATTTACATATCAATTGGCTTGGGGAATAAAGCATAAATTCTAATTCCAAATTCAAACCAATTTACACAGTCAAAACATTTACGAAAGTGACACACGACTCACGCACACCGGCCGCCCCTTTTGTGGTTGTTAAGTGTTTCCCTTTTCAATAACCTTGACAGTGTGAAAATATACAAAATACTTGACAAAAAAAAAAAAAATAATTATAACAACAAATAGATACTAGCGTACTTATTCCGAAATAAAAATTTATTCTAGTCCATTACATGGTTCCCCTACTCAACTTGGCTACTTGAATGCCTACTCATCACTCACTCGTACCGCTCGTACATGTTGTTCACGACCATCTTCCTGAACATTCATTATTGCCTATAAGTTGTGGCCATCTAGACATCACTTGTTAGACAGCAGGTCTCAACATGTTTTTTATTGCTGTTGAAAATATTTTTGTTTAAAAACAAAAAACATTTAAATGTAAATATTGCTTACAACAAATATCGAAGATGATTATTTTTATACGACTTGAGTTTGTTTCCTATTGAAGTCAATATCAGTAAATATGTCATCTTTTAAAATCAAAAAAAAAAAAAAAAACATTTGAAGACTGAAAAGGTACTCTGTGCCCTCCCAAATATAAATGTAGTCTGTCGATCAGGTATTACGTGATTGGCACGACAGTTTTCGTCTTCTTTTCGTGTTAATCACCTGTTGAATTATATCCTAGATTGAACTTTGCCCAAATTTTACCTCCGGCTCAGAGTATTAATTAAAAATACTGCAAGCTACATAAATATAAATGCAATTAATCAACACAGGGCATTTTTAACATTCTAGAGAGTGTATAGAAAAACTCAATGCACCGAATAACCCAATGTAGCGTAATTCGAAACAAATTAATAATATTTGGTATAATAATATTAAAATGGTCAGAATCTTTTTTTATGAAATTTAATGTTCTTGTTAAAAATTATATATGGGAACCTTTGTCAATGTAAGGTAACCATTCTACATAGACATTAAAAACGATACATTTCAATTTAAGGCGTATAGAAGGTTTAAGCCATTCTTCGTGAAATGAAAAATATAATTTTTATAATTTTTTAATTTGACATTTCTTTTCATTATAAAAGTTTTCTTTTTATATTTCCATAGAACAAAAAATAAGGCTCTGACCGTAATTTTTCAGTTTTCTTGTAGACATATTTCAGCTTAACGTACATCAGCATTGTCCGAATCTTTGATGTTGGCTATACTTCTCGATCGAATTAATTTAACATTTTCGATCAACATTTTGCATGTTATAGTAATTTTGTCACTATTAGATCTACCGTCTACTGCCTTACTTCAAGGATAATGTTATCAGATTTATGACTAAAGAATATATTGAAATTGGATTTTAGATTTTTTTATATTAACATTAGGCTAATTTCGCATTGGTATACACGTTTTGGTACTTCCGAATGGTTCAATACATTTCTTATATTCTGCCTATTATATTTATATTTATTTAACCCGATAAAATTAAAATTTTAAGATGATATACCGGCTCCCATGCTTTAGTTTCTTGAAGTCACTCTATTATTCGAACGAAATGACGTAGAGAGCCAACCTTAAGATCAAGTTCGAATGGTCCCCAAATGATGGTACCTCCAGATGTTCGACTTGTGGCCATCTACACATTTTTCTACAGAATCGTCCAAGTTAATCCACATTTTAGTATAGTCCCTAACGATACCTCCCAATTTTTGGTATTTTGAAGATTTGAACCAAATTTTTGTACCTCTGGAAGATATAGAACCTCATATAACTATAACTCCTCATATTCTGTACTCTGATGAAGTGAGTCAAATTTTGCACAAAATTGTCAACCTAAAAAAGAAAATTTTTCAATATCGGTCTACGTTTTTGGTAACACATTATTATAAAGTGGTATTTTGATAGTATCCCCACATTGTAAAGAAATTGCTTGAGATTTGGGATTTAAATACCTTAACTGGTATGAAATGTAGCTTCGTATACAATTACAGAATTATCTGAAGTGTTTGGAGTTTTGAAACAGCTTCCTAATATCGATACCTCCCGTTTTGCAGTATTTTAATTTTTTTTTTGCAAAAATTTTTAAACGATTTTCCCAAAATCAAATGATTTTAAGTCATAATTTATTTTTTGAAATATTTATATGTGCCAGCATAGTTTTTAAGGAGTTTTGTGTTCTTTTGAATGTTCCTAGGACTGTACAGCCCCTATCTTCATGAACTAAGGGATTATAGGGAAATATTACCTCTTTTAAAGTTAATTGATGGCTGTTAGGTATGTGGTAAAAACCAGCCTTTTTAATAGCTATCTATTTTATGATTAAATTTAAATTCATAAGGAAATCCACTTTTTTATAAAAAGTACGTCATTGACCAAAATGTGGGTACTTCCCCATTTTCCTATGATGACTTTTTTCCAATGATGTCTTCATTTGTTTACTAACTGTTATTGAACTCAATCCACTTTTACTCATTCTAATTTATAACTCTATTGGAACATTTTCCCATTCACATGTCGGATAAGATATGTTTCTGTGACTTCTGCGTGGGCACAATCACTTGTCACACCTGTGATCGCCGGGTCTACACCTGTCCACGTGTACAACACAAACAGATGTAGTGAAATAATGTCCCCAACATCAGATACAAATACAAATACACGCAAATCAATTTCAATATTTTTTGGCGTTAATTTCACCCCCAAAAAACACAACAACAACAAAATAAATTTGATGTTCTATATCGCCACAGCGTTTGCTTTTGTATTAGTTCCGGTGGTGGTTAAGATGAGTACTCTGCTGCTGGCACGGCAATGTGTGTGTGCGTCTGTGTGTTTGGATGTGCGAAAATGAATGCTGTCGTTGGTCGTTATCATCTGCCCTGTTATCATCATCGGCTGGCGGTTGGCTGGCTGGCTACTTAAGTCTCTGCAAACATTCGACCAAACGGTGATAGCAGCACCTCTACGTAACGTACTCATCCGTGTAATTCGCATGGAATAGTTCTGTTCTGAATATTTCGACTCTCTCCTATCTGTCTGTCCCCACTTCTAACGACAATCGGGTGTGATTGTGTTCAAACAAAACGACAGACGTCGACAACTACGTTCGATACAGACCATAACGATCGACAAGCCGGAGCAGCATTTCAGTTTTAAAAGCAACAAGTAACACACACAGAGAGTGTAGTCGCTCGCTTCTATATCTTCGCTTAAGACGTTCTAAAATATTCGGATCGGAAAAAAAAAAATTTGAAACTGCATTTAAGCAAAAAAATATAAATATCCGTATAAAAAGGACTAACTGTTATTTTATTTTTCCCTCTCTTTCTACTTACACTGTTTTCCATTTTCCGTGGAACTGGAACAAATTGATGACAAACCAAAAAATCGAAAATCAAAACAAAATTGTGACGCGTAGTGAATAAACGTGTAATTTCCTCATTGCTCCTGCTACCGTTGTGGTCTAATTTGGTGTTAGCCCAACGTCCTACCTCAACATTGTCACCGCAGCCGTCTCAAACCGGAGCCAGCCAACTCAAACTTCAACTACCTCTCTCAGCGGAAAGTATTAGCCGAAATTTCACAACCAAAATGCCAGAGAAACGTATTGCCCCCACCATTGAATCAGCTGCTGATTTTGAATTGAAATTGCCCGGGTAAGTGAAGTTCAATGATTTTGCTTCTCATACATACATAGCGACACACACATACTCGTACATATAACATATTTATTGTTTACAATTCTTGCCAACATGAATCACATTTACGAAATAATGAAAACAAGCTCAGCAATTTTTCCGTTCATGCCCATCCTCGCCGTGTGTGTTACGTAGTATTCTTTTGACCTTGGCAGTGATAATTTACCTCCCTCTGTACAGTGGAATTAATTGCCACAGATAAGCTTTTGTTAACAACGTAATTCACTAGAGAGAGTGTGAGTGTGAGGGTGTGTAAGAAGAGGGTGAGGGAGGATTGGGAATTTATTTACAAAACTATCTGTTTACTTGTGGAAGGATTTGGAGTGTTTTATATGTAATACAATAACAACAACACGCGAAATGTATTACATATTTCTCTTTTCGTTGTTGTTTTAATTTCTTTTCAAACATCACTTAAACGGCGCGTGGATATTATTCATCCGTGCACTTGGGTATTAACAATAGTTGGAATTGGAATGGGTTTCCTGGAAATTGCTTAATTGATGTTTGTATTAGGTTATAGTTGTGTGTAATGGGAAATTTTATAGTTTGGGGTACATTTTAGATTCTTCCAACTGAGGTTTTTTGAAATCCATTCGGTTACAAACTAGGATAAGTCTTGAAAATTTCCAAATCAATTTAGTCACGTTTTAGGGAATTGAGGTGCTAAAAGTTTCCAGAGAACTTCCTCTAAAAAAATCATCCAAAAGGTCCTGAAAATTGAATTTCGTTTTATCATTTTTTTTTTTTTTTTTGTTTTTTGAGAATATAACCTCGTATCATTAATCTGAAGAGATAAACATTGAATTTGGTTTTCTGACAGAATGACATTATTTGTTGGTCAATGATGTTACGATGTGCAAAATTTGGATGACCTCGAAGGACCTTTATAATAATCATGTTGGTCGTAAGAAGATAATTACGACCAACAGGATTATTATAAAAGTTTGTTGAAGATAAACTTTTTCAGAACTTTTTATAGAAGGCATAATTAGAGAGTTTTTTAGAGTTTTGAACTCGGGTGTGGGGGGTACTAGAAGGAGTTGTTGATATTTTCAATATTCACATTTGATTAAATTTCAATTTTAATGTAATGATTGGATGGATACATCCCATCTTAACAAAAATTCCGATAGGGACAAGGACTTCAAACAGTCAATAGGAGAATCGATAAGGTTAGGTGGACTCCAAAATGTGCTGAAACGCATGGTACAATAAGGAGGTAGAGCAGCTTCGTAAAACTACAAAATACAGCCCTGAGCCTTTGCCCGCTTCCTGTCAAAATTGTTCGAAATTTCAACAATTTGTTTTCATTTATTTGATATTTTTTGTTCATTTTCAAAATGAGTTAAATGGCGCGAAATATGAATGAAATGCCTGGATGTTCTCTCAAAAATATGATCCTAAGTGTTCAATCTTTCAATTCCATGGCGAATCTGGTTAAAACTAAAAAATAATAAAAGCGCGCGCCCAGCAATTTAAGTTTCTTCCAATCATTGATTTTGAAAAAAAAATTGTTCTTATTTTTCAAAACAACAAATACATACACAAATTTGGCAGATTCGGGCACACAATTTGTAATCAGCTGGTAGCTCTACCTTACCTTTTTATTGTACCATGCTTAAACGTATTTCCTCCAAAGAGACTTGATGTCCAAACCCATTGTTTCGGTAATACACAATTTTAACAGTGTCAAATATATATCTTCCTTAGCCTTAGGACTGAGGGCATAAAGTTGTTGTGCTTATATGCTCGAAGGACTAAAACCAAAAAATAATTAAAATTGTGCTTAGTTTCAGACATATGAACTATTTTCTCGTCGTAAATGACTAAATGTTACTCCCTTACTGTGAGTATAGAAAATTTACTCTTTTTCGAGTAGTTCCAGTAAAAAGTACTAATCAATCAAGTACTTTTCGATGTTTACACCTCTTAAGAACTTGAAAAACTATGGATCCTTTTGCAGTATTAAAAGTTGTCGGGCAAAATCTTATTCCAATCATAAAATTTGTTTTTTTTATTGTTGGACACAACATTTACATAAGACATATACATATATATATTTTTATATCGAGACGAGCCCTCAAACAGAAGTGTGACCAATCTCGCACTTATGGTGGAAAATTTTATGTAATACCACTGCTTCAAAAGAATTTTATACTAAATTATTTTCAAAAATATATATCTCTCATTTTAGTTTTTTTGGATAGTGTTTTCATATGTGGTTTATTTTAAAATCTCCATTAATATTGTTGCCAGGTCATTTATTAACAAATTTTTTCTTGTTGTTTTCTTTTTTGGAGAACTCATTTGCCATGTTTTTCCCTCATGTTGTTTACCGTTTTCTTTTTCCCCTTCTCAATACTGTCAAATAATTTGAAATTTGTTGTTATGCTCCCATTATAAGTAGGCCATTTTTAAGGTGGCGGAGGGTGGTAAGGATTTGATTTTATTACCTTTGCTTTATGGAATCAACGTAAAAAGAATATATAATTTGTTGGCAAAAAATATATAGAATTTATGGCCGCATAACAAAGTGTTTTTTTCTATATATATGCACACGGGTGTTTCTTAGGAAAATTTTGTCCCATATAAATGTTTATTGGCCGCACACATGGAAAACAATGAAAAGTTGTTGTCTCACGCTTTTCACATGCCAGCCAAATTAAAGCAAAGTTCATTGTTGGCTATAATATTAGCAAAAAAAAAAAATAAATTGGGGGCGTGCGTATATTCAAATGGGTCATGATCTAGATTATTATTTTTTAAGATGCACAATAAACAAAATGATTTATCTATGATGGTTTTTTTAAAGATAATCAGTATATATAGATCACCGACCCCCTAGATATGTTTCCAAAAAAATACAAGTTGTGATAAACAGACGAGATTTGACCTCATTTTACAAATGTTTCTTGTTTATTTTCTATTTTAAAAACAAATTAAGATATGTTTATATGTAAAATAAATTTGTTCAGTAAATTTCCAAAAGTTGATCTTTTCAACCAATTTTAATTTTTTTAAAATATTTTTCAATGACTTATTCTACCGATAAAGATTACCAAATAAAATATTATTGCAAAAGTAAGCAGACTAACATAATGCAAATTCTCATTGAGGAGCAACTGCACATTAGCAGCAGTGCTCAAAACCGTCCAAATGAGAGATTATTTAAGAGAAAACAACAATTGCATTTTTCTTTATATTTATCCATTTATTTCAATTGTTTTTAAACTTTGACGTTGTCTTAAATTATTATTAAAGCTAATTTTTACAAAAGAAGTCAAAAATTATATTTTCACACTGTTTTTTGATTGTTTAAAAAACAAAGATAAATTGGACTGGTGAGCGAGGTCTTGTCTAGGCACAATATGAAAGAGAACAATTCCTTCCACTCTCCTATGAAAAAAAATTTGAGTACACATCTTCTCGTTAGTAGCTCTCTTCAAAAAAAAAAATAAAATAAAAATAATAATAATTTTGTTCAGTGTATGTCTTTTGTAATCTGCGCGCCTTATATATCCAGCTTCGGGAAACTGATCATATTTTGGACAGAATTAACAATAATGCGTTTTTAGAGACTTTGTTTGAACATACCCCAGATGTTTAACCGATAATAGGTACTATCGTTATTCAGACTCACGATAAAAATTTAATAAAAAAAATAATAAAATGAAAACAGTAAAGAAGGTCTAAATATCGGTTTTATGATACCATGCATATTTAGTAGATCTACATATAACAAATATAAAAAACGGATGAACAAAATTGGCATACCTGTTTCTATGCTCAATTTAGTCACGTTTGGTACACAATAAAAGGCAAATCGGAAGAAAATATATAGGGGAGCTATATCCAAATCTGGACCGACCTCGATAAAATTTGGGAAAGGTATTTCTGTGCTGTATTTGATAGATTTCCCAAAATATATTTGTTGTAGAGTGCATATTACGGCTGCGGAGGACAAAAATACCAAATCGGATAAACAATATATATGGGAGCTATAGCTATATCTGAACCGATTTCGATCAAATTTGACATAGTTATTTCCAGGCTTAATTTGGTCGTATATTGCGAAGGTGCACATTTTCAGCTGACCTCATTGGCAAGTAAACACGATCATTTTGTTTTTTTTTTACAAACTGCTAGACAACGAATGTTTTCTCATCGGTTAAAACCAAATTCGGCAGTTCACCACTTTCGGCCAAGCGAAGCAACTCTTTAGCTCTTTTGAGTCTATTTTCTTTATGTTGCGGTGTAAGTTCTTGCACTTTTTGGAATTTTGCTGATGTTGCTGTTTTCTTCCGTCCACTTCCTTGACGTCGGGTTACGCTGCCATTTTCACGGTAACGAGCGATGGTACGAGACACAAAAGATTTATTCACATTTAAATGCTGAAGTGCTCAAACGAAAGCCACTTGTGCTTGAATTCCATCACTTTTTTTTCTAGAAACAATTGTCACCAAAATGATTTTGTACGCTTGTAAACAATGTAATGAGCTGTCACTGGAACAATTTTAACAGCCATCGGACGAGTGGCTTGGAAATGACAGCTGTCTGAAATTGTTTGCAGTTTTTTCATCTCACCCTGTATATAGGATCTATATTTAAAAATTGACTGATTACCTCCAATTTCAATAGGGTTCGTCCTTGGCTCAAACAAATGATTAAGCAAAATTTTATCTGGATCGGGCAATAAATGCGACCTGTACTTTGTTTACAAAAATAAATGGACATATCGATACTTTAAGCTAACTTTCGAATACAGAGAAGTGAAGAACAACAATGGCAGCAATCTACGAGAAGTAATATTTTCAGAGCACAGATTTTGTAGTTTTTACTTAAGAGTGAGACATACTTGTGAGCGCGAGTGCTCGAAGGGCAATATTTTTACACGATCTTTACTTTCGACTACTTTGTTTTACTCCTTAGTATTTACACTCAAAGTTTACTCTCCGCTCTTTTGTTTTATGTGGGACCACTCGTGAGTTACTCCTTTTAGAAAAATAAGAGTGGGGGTTAGTACATTCATACATAAAAATACAAAACTGAAAAATGCTGAAACCTCTGGAATCGTACATTTTCTCAATCTATATACATTTTTTCTCAGAAAAGTACTTAAAATTTTATGAACTATTTAAGTTCTATTGAATTTTAACATTGATAATATGACAAAGTCCATTAATTATTCTAGGAAATAGAAATAATTCTTTTGAACTCCCCTTAAATTATCACAAACACCCCCTCTTATCACAAATTACAAAAAAGTAAAGTAAAAAGTAATCTCATCAAATTCTGTTACCAATTGAATGGAAACGACACGGCCGATACCATCATTTTGTAAACGTATATTTTAATTCACATCATACCCAATATAAATCTATCAAGATAATAATTCCGAATTTTATTTTATTGCTCTCCCCTCCATAGATTTTTGAACAAAAACAAAACACTCGCCCTGCTCTTGGACTACGATGGCACACTCGCTCCCATTGCCGATAATCCCAAGAAGACTGTTATGCCCATTGCCACTGAAGTCATTCTCAACAAACTCGCCAAACATCCCAACGTTTTCCTAGCTGTCATATCGGGCCGTGGCATTCGCGATGTTCAAGGTCGCGTTGGCATCAATGGCATCATGTATGCCGGAAATCATGGCATTGAAATTGAATCGGAAGATGGCAGCAGACACGATTACCAACTGCCCGTTGAGGTACAGGAGAACTATACCCATCTGGTTAAGGAATTGAGGGCCAATGTGGAAAAGAACAATGCCTGGGTGGAGGATAAGAGGGTATCGTTGACCTACCACTATCGTGACACACCCGTCGACATTAAGGAATCACAAAAGCAGGTGGCAATTAAAATTATCGAAGCCCACGGTTTCAGAGCCAATCAGGCGCACGAAGCCATTGAAGCTAAGCCACCAGTAAACTGGCATAAGGGAGAGGCTGCCCGCTTCATTTTGAAGCACAAATTTGGTGAAAACTGGGCCGATGAAATCAAGGTTATATTTGCCGGCGATGACACCACCGACGAAGATGCTATGAGAGTGAGTAATCCACAAATGTAAAGGAAGTGCAAAAATATTTACCAATTTTTTCTTTCCATCATTTCAGCTACTCCAAGGCCTCGGCAAGTCATTTAGAATATCAACAGATCCAGAAATTCAAACCTTTGCTGACTTTAGATTGGCACGTCAGGATTTGGTCAGTGATTTATTGAAATGGATTTCCGATGCCTATGGCGTCTAAACAAGCTATGCTATTATTTTTATTATTAATATTTACTACCATTGTATGTAAAGACCTCCCCTCCCCTTTATCTGTAGTTTTAAGTGTTATTCAATTTAATTTTCATTCATTTTGTTTTGTTTGTTTTATTTTTTAATGTACAACAACAAAAAAACCAACGACAACAAGAGATTTTACGGGTACACAAAGAATATTGTTAACAATCGTAAACACAGCACATACAAACATACATACATATACATAGATATTTTTAATATACTCATGCATCTTTAGTCTATAGAAATTATAGTTAAATAAACAAAAATATGTCGCCCCCCCCCCCCCCTTATTTTCCGCATCCTCCAACAAAATATTGCACAAATCAATTATTTAATAAATGAATATTTGAAAAAGAAATACCATGAGATTGTACAGAATTTCTATATTTAGAGAGAGCCAGATTTGAAACACTGTTATTCGCGATTCGATGAAAATAGATGACAAACACTGTAGTCGTTTCGAACAACTTCCTTAAGTGCCAAATTGCAGTCATCATTCAAAATTCAATCATTCAAAAATTATAACCAGAATCAGACTTGGCTCTATATTTCAATTTAAGAAATATAGAAGACTAACATGTTTTTTTTTATCCAGTAGAGTGGGAACCAATTTTTTACACCACCACAACATGATATCATTACATTTCCCTTAATTCAAAAAAAATTAAAATCGATTTCGTTGCAATTTTTGTTTTTTTGTGGCTAATAAAACACACTGAAGAAAATTTTGACGGAACGGGCTACAGATATTATATATCATTTGATACAAACAAAATGTACCTCATCTAAATAAATGTTTTAGATCCTAGGTCACTCTGACGAAATTCGTTTCTGGAAATTTGGAGTCGATCTAACCATGTATATAGTATCCAATTTAATTCACACCTGTTACCAGGGTTGCGGTAGGTAATCATAAAAATTTTAATGTGCGATCTCTAGCCGAAAAGATGTGAAGTGATTTTCATTTATCTATATTTTCTATATTTTAATCCTAAATAAAAATAGTAATGATCTTTAATTTAGTCAGAAGAAAATGCTTTTTTGAAACTCTGTCTTAAAATGACATTGGTAATATGTGGTCGGCACCACCTGATTAAAGCCAACATTAATTTGGAAAGTGGTCGTTGGAGGTGCCGTTATATGGCGACAAAAAATACATATGTTGAAATATTTCTGTATGATTGGTTGGACCCCGATCAAGACACCGGAAATAATTGCAATCAGGGGATATCTTCATATGAGGGTTATACCAAAACATGATCCTATATTGATAGCTTTTTGCAAGGATGGTTGCCTCTTACTAGGAACTCAAAGTACCGAAATTAGTAAATTTTTTATAAAAAATATGGCTGAAATGTAATATAGCTGATACAAAGACGTGGACCGACATCAAAATGTACTAATGATTCTATATATAACCCGAAGGGCTGCAAATTATTTGAGGACCTTTGTGCATGGTTAAGGCTATATAATGGTCCTAAAAAGTTTGGCCTGGTAACCGAATATTACCACCTACAGTTACCACCCGGACAAAACGTCGACACTAGGACTAAATTTTTGACATTGAATTATTTGTATATACTTTGTTTAGAAAATGGACCAAAATTTTCGTAATATGGGCCCACTTATTTCCTACTATCTCCACAAGAAGCCAACATTTTGTGAAATTAATCCCGATTTTACACAAGCGCCTGAATGTAGGTCCCTGTGACTTCCCCTCAAGAGGTGTACATTTATGGTTGTATGCAGAGTGTGTAATAGCTTTTTAAACCCTCAGTCATGTGGCTAGAGAGGGTATATATCATTTGATACGACCTAACGTGCCTCATCAAAATAATGGTTTTAGACCCTAGGCCTCTTTTTACCAAATCCGTTTCAGAACATTTGGAGTCGATCTAGCGATGTCCGTCCGTCTGTCTGGCTGGCTGGTGGGCACTATAACTATCGAAGGGAGTATCTGATTTGATCCAAACTTGGTACATCGTAATATAATTATCAAACTTAGATCGAGTTTGGAGATGAATAATATCGAATTAAAAAAAAATAAAATAAAATTCTGCACAGGAAGAGAAAGGTTAATCCGGTTTTACCCCAACTTTGCAAAACTTAATCAGTACTAGGTCAGGTGTGAAAAAAGACAATATCGGTCAACTCTATCAAGTATCTCCCACACAAAGGGTCAAAGTTTTGATTAATTATAATTCTTATAAAATATCATGTAAGAATCCGATTGTCTTCAAATTACACACATCACAATATTTTTATTTACCGATTTTCTGGTGTGAAAATGGAATATATCGGTTCACTCCTTCTGCCACCTTCCCCAAAAAGGGTCAACATTTTGAATATTCATGAAGCATATAAAACACGAAAGTTAAATCCGATTCCATTCAGACTTGGTACATCCCATTATGTCCATGAACACAATATTAGTTATAATGATGGTAGAGATCGGACCATTTCTTCAGGTACCTCCCTCACATGGGGTTCAAAAAATAAGTATCCAACGCTCTTCAAATTTCACACCTACAAACATTTTTGCTAACACAAGATCTATTGTGAAGTATATAATCTGTTCCTCACCATCTTGCGAAACAAGTCAGTGATTCCCTACAACTTGCTATATCTAAATATATCCCTCAACCTAAATTTAAGATGAATAGAGAATTTATGATTTGCATAAAATTGGATATATATGTTCGACTTTCTTGTAATTTTGCCCATACCAATATTTTTATCTGTATTAGACGAAATATGAAAATTAAATTCTACGGTCGACTATATCTGGTACGTCACGCACATTTTAACATTTCCTAAAAATTATCACATATAACATATAAATTGAAGGAGGTAACCAATACAGTCCAAACCTGGCACGTCGCAACATTAATATCATATTTTTTTATGTCCGATACGAAATTTACAATATTGGCCCATTCCTTTAGAACCTAACAGAAGTCAACATTTATTTAAATAATCGAACACTGGTGTGTGTGTATTGTGGTTAACCTGAAATAAAAGTGAAAAAAAAAATAAAAATAGCCAGAAAGTAAATTACGATCGAGTGTCCTTATATTTCTCTTAGTTTCACGAGAGGTGCTGAAATTGACAATTCGACCGACTTCTGATACCAACAACAAAAGAATTCAAAATTTCAAAACTGTTTTTATCTGTTATCCGATTTTATTGTAAATCGGCACTTCCTAACACTTCCCTCCTACTCCCCAAAAACCGGGAATTTTTTTGATTAACCATAATAAAATCCGAAATTTTCTCCCATCTTTACACATACTGACATTTTTACCAATAATATATTTAATATAAAGAGGGATAATTACCTCACCCTTTGAGGTGCTTATCATCAACCTTTGCAAGAAAATTGTACAACTCTTAAATTCGGGATCTAACTGGGTACTTTAAGATTAGTTAAAGTACCCAGTTAGATCCCGAAACATAAATTAATAGCTGATTTTGTGTGAAATGTTTTCTTCGAAATATCGAAAATCAGGAGGTACCACAAAATGGACCTACACAGAATTCTTTGGAACCAATTAACTATTTGGTTAAAAAATCAGGAGAAATTGCTATAGAAGGTCTATAGCGAAAAGTGAACGTACATTGAATATTTTTTGAGAAGAGTTAAACTAACCACTGAGAATCTGAATTATCGAATAACAGCTAATTTGGATGGAAATTGGAGCAGAAACTTTTCAAAACACCGAAAATCAAAACACCGTTACCCAGACTATTCTGAATATTTAGTAGAGTGTTCCCAGTGTGAGGCAAGATGAAAATATTGTTCAAATTTTTTAATCCCCTTTTAACTACATACTTATTTTCGTATCTTAAATAAACAATTGCACTTAAATAATCCCGATCGCCCTGTAAACATTCACATAAAAACATACATTTTTTGTTTACATATAGTAACGGCACCTAAAATATTGTTTCTGTCACAAATTTGTAGTCAAGTTAATTAAAATGTCAATTTTATGGAAATTTAGTGTCAATTAAAAATCCAAAAATGTTCATAAAATATTGAAATGAAATGGTGTAGTGAAAAAACAACATATCTCCGTATAGATATATTGTTCCAGAACGTATATATCTATATGTAGTTATACACACATACTTACATGTGTATGTATGTGTACAACTGCGTATATAGAAACATAAACAATCATATGATTAGAGCTTTTATGTTTTTTTAAAGATGTGAGTACCAACGTTTTTTTCTCACTTTGAGAAACGTCTCCGTCGCTGATATTGTTCGCCAGTTGTATTTGTTACCAAATTTCAGAGAGTAAATGACCAAAAATTGCATTGCTTAAATTTTTTCCCATTTGGTTATAAACGTACATTTTTTTAACACTTAATAAATTTAAACGAACTGACTTAACGTTCAACAGTTTTAAGACCCAAAATAAGTTTTTTTTTTTTTTGACAAGTTCATATAGTTTTATTTATCGTCACAAAGCCTAATTCCGGGTCGCAAACCTCATTTACTTCCACGGCTTTAAAATACACCACCTTTTCACAATTGTTGTAAATGCTTTTAAACCCAAAAGATTATATGGATGGACTATCGTTTTCCAAACAATTTTTACAGATGACCAGTTGCGAAGCCGGCCAGTGAGTCATAATTTTACTTTAAAATATTGAATTATGACCGCGATTTTGGTGGCTTATTATCCAACATAGCCGTGGTTTATGTGGTCGTAAAGGCCAAATTAAAGGCGCTGTATTTGTTGGGTGTCATGTCAGGTCACAGTAACTTAAAAATTAATTGCATTTAATATCAATAAATCGCTACCTCCAGATTTTCATATAACAAAAATATAACGGTACCCTTGGCTTTGGGTTTCTGCCCCACTTTCTTGTTAATTGTGAGTAGACTAACTTCTCTCGAAAATATTTAATTTACATGAATTTTGAGCATGGTAAATTATATAAAAGTTCTACTCGAACTTAACTTAAATTTTGAGCTCAAATTGTTGAGTTTCTAGTTGTCTTGGCATCCAACTTATTATACAATAAACAATTTGTCTGACAATTTTGGTCGAACTTTCCCAAAATGTGGCAACATTGAGTTTAAACGAATAAAATGCCTGTGTGTGGCAGAGATTTGCCGCACGTCTACACTTTCTTTTTCGGTGCTTGCATGCTTATGTATGTGTGGGTGAATATTTCAAATTTTCCTTCTCGATCGATTTAGGAGAAACGAACAATTCTTGTCTATGTGTGAGTGTGTACACACATTCACAGTAAAGAAAGTGAAAAGAACTACGAATGCGCACAGAGAGTTATCATAATTTGGACAATATGAAAACTCACCGATTTCTTGATCGGGTGGCGGGGGGTATCTTCTCGAAATATGAAAAATCTATTCAAAAGAGATCTCCCTCTACGCCAACGCCAACCCATACTAAAACATTTGAATTTTTGGTTTATTAACGAAGCGAAACGAGGAAAATTTGAAGAAAAATTGGAGGTGATGGAGGATTTTTTTGAGAATTGCACAGTCAGTATTAAAAAAGTTGTCCGCTTGTTTAGTACAACGGGAAGTTTTCAATTTGAGGATATTTTGTGAAAAAGAACAAAATGGCTGAACAAAAGAAGGCTCCTTTGATGAGAAAAGAAGAAGATTACGTCAAGGCTTTGGAAGGGTAAGTTGAGACTGGTTGGCGTGTGGTTTTTGGTAATTAAGAACAATTATTGGTTTACTATAGTTTCATTACCCCCACCGATCAAGTTGCCTTGTTGTTGGACTACGATGGCACCTTGGCCCCATTGACCGAAGAATTGTCGGTTATGCCCAAGGATACCGAAATCAACATCAAGAAATTGGCCGCCAACGAAAAGATCTTCATGTGCATCTTCTCCGGCCGTGAATTGACCGAAATCAAGAACCACTTGAAGTTGCCCAATGTCACCTATGCCGGTAATCACGGTTTGGAAGTTGAATATCCTTCCGGCAAGAAATTCAAAATTGAAATGCCCGAAGAATTGTTGGAAAAGCACAACAAATTGGTTGCTGAATTGAAGGAAAAGGTAAGTGTCCCCGCTAAGACTGGGAAAGATGTGTTCAAAATGTTAACCTTTGTCTTGTATTTTGTATTGTAGGTTGTGTGCTCCGGTGCCTGGGTTGAGGATAAGAAAATCTCTGTCACCTACCACTACAAGGGTGTCAATGACAAATTGAAGGCCAAATTGATTGAAAGCGCCAAGGGTTTGATCCAAAGCCATGGCTTCCAATTGATCGAAACTCCCTATGCCTTGGAGGGCAAACCACGTGTCAACTGGGATAAGGGTAAGTTTTGAAGAACCCAACAACACCTGTTCATTTATTTATTTATATGTATATATGTATAAGTATTGGCGGTTATAACATTTTCAGTTTGAAAAACCGCCACCAGTTTATTCATGATCCATTTTAAAGTAAGGCTTTATTCAACGAGATTTCAAAGCTTTAGTTTTGTTTAAACAATTGAAGGGACCGATTGTTTTAGTATTTTAAACATTTTACACCTACTCTGGGCAACACTCTTCTTCAATAGGCCGAAAATGAATTTTTTCTATTTCTAAATTTATTCAAAATGTGAAAAATGTTTAGAACCTATTTTTGAAATTTCTAAATTCGTTTTTCGGAAATGTTTACTTAAAAAATCTATTAAAAGAAATGGAACAATAAATCTTGAAAAGGCAGGGTTGTAAATCCGTTGCATTTGAAAATGTATTCAATACAATTTAGTTTTTTATAATTATTCTAATTTGAGACCATTATACATTGGCTAGAAACCAACATGAGTTCTGCTTAGAAACCATTTTTTTAAAGTTAATTGAAAGCAGATTTGCGCCGAGGAGAATTTTTCGTTACCTAAAGTCTCCTACATCGTATAAATGGCAGAAAATTTATCTTCTGGATCTTCGGAAATTTTCCAAATGTTTAGCGTTTGTCTTGTGTGATATTTCATAGCAGCTTTGCCCGCAAACAAAAACGAAACATCTGCTGATCCCCATACATGCATTTGTATTTGTACATACGTTGTTGTTGTTGTTGTTTTTGTTTCATTTTTTTTCTTGGGAAACAAATTGTAAATCCAAGGGAAATATATTTTCGCTAGACACACTGCTTTAGCTTTTATTTTTATGAGCGTTAGCTGAATGGCAAAAAATAAAGCAAATGAATAATGGGTTTGGGCCGTTTTTGAGTAGGCGTTGTTGGTTCGATATATCTGTTGTTTGTTTGTGTTTTTGTTTTCGTTTTCCTCGCAAAACTGATCAGCAGCCAAAAATTCTTTGAGTATTTTTAACAAAAATGACAAAATTATAGACAACCACGGCAACCAACAGCCAGTGTCACAAATCGGCAATATATTATGGACGACAACCTACCGAGCGATAGACAGACAGACAGACGGACACTTGCTGTCCATTGCTACTGTCAACGCGTATAACACATTTTTAAATTTAGCAAAATTTACACTTTATTTTGTATTCGAATATTTCAATTATTTCCAAACACACACACACAGACACGCACATACATGCATCCATATTTAAACATAGACTCATCCTCATCATCATCGGTTAGATGCACGGCTGAGTCACTTTGAACAATTTTGAAATATGAAAAATGCACGAAATATTATTTTGATTACAAACTCATTCAATACAAGAAATGTACCTTCCTGCCGGCTGGCGGTACTACATTGGGCGTTGGTGGGTCAATGGCTCTTGCTCTAGCATCCATGGTACTTGGCAGGCAGTCGTGTGCCTGTCACACAACCACTGGGTGTAAAGATTTTATATTTACAAAGTGAATAATTTGTTTGAAATGACATGTGTGCGGTACGTACGAACGTACGAACCAACGTACATTATTCGTTCGATTATTGTCAGCGGCATATTCAAAAAACAAAAAAAAGGAAAATGAAAATAAAATCAAGAAATATGAAATTAATTGTTTCGGTTTTGTTATATTTTATAGCGGCATAAGGCAAATTTCATATCTTTTTTATGTCGCTGCTGCTTTCTTTCAAATTTTGACAGCCCCACCAAAATGTTTATGGCAAATTCATCTTTTAAAACTATTTGCGATAATAGAATTTTTCCTCAATATGCACATATATATGACTATAATAATAAATATGCTGAACAGATATATTGGCTATAAATAGTTTGTAATACATTTTATTCTAGTGGCGGGTCAAAACAATTAAAAGCTTATGGATTTACCGATTTTAAGGAATTCAAATAAATCTAAAAATATTTGGCACAGAAGTGGAACGAACGAATTAAGGCAATGTGTTTTGTATTAACAGTTTTCACAATTTATAGCTGTAGTAAATGTTGTTTAAAATATTTCGATTTTGTATTCAACATACATTTAGAAAAATATCTACTCGGAGTTTAGGAACTACAGGGAAAGATAAAAAACTGCAACAAAGTCAAACGCTATAATTTTTACATTTTTTTAAATTTTATTGAATAAAAGCAAAAAATAACGGAAATAGAATCAAATTTTAGAATAAGTTTAGATTTGGTCGAATTATGGCCTTCAAACGGCCAATAAAACCGTCACACTCTACCCGAATGTTGGGCTGCGGTATTTTGGCCATTCCCGGCGAAGCACTTGCCTGAGGTGATCGACACTTTGGTATTTTTTAGTGCCAACCTTGCATTCCAAAATACTCCAGACACAATAGTCCAACGGATTGGTATCCGAAGATTTTTGTGGCCATTTTGCGCTGGAAATGAAGCGAGGAACCTCATTTGCAACCATTCTTGGGTGGTTCGTGCTGAATACGATGGTACTGAGTCCTGTTGGAATGTCCGAGGTCTGCGGCCAAAAGTTTGCTTGCCCAAGGCTTTAATACACCCTCCAGAATATTTTTGTGATAATCATTCATATATAAATCATTTATTCTGATGCCAAGGTCGAATAATACGAGCGACCATCGGCCATCACCATCGACCATCACCATGGCCGGCGCTTGAGTTCTGGTGGCCAACTGAAGGTGCACATATTCAGCTGACCTCTTTGGCAAGTAAACACGATCATTTTGTTTGTTTACAAACTGCTGGACAACGAATGTTTTCTCATCGTAGACGGAGAAACCCCAATTCGGCAGTTCACCACTTTCGGCCAAGTGAAGCAACTCTTTAGCTCTTTCGAGTCTAGTGTCTTTCCGTTGCGGTGTAAGTTCTTGCACTTTTTGGAATTTCAATGGCTTTACCCCGTTCAGCTCACGAGCCATTTTTCGGCCACTACGACGCGGGTTCCTATCAATTCGCTTCTTTACTTTTCGAACCATTTCTACTGATGTTGCTGTTTTTTCGGTCCACTTCCTTTACGTCAGGCTACGCTGCGTATCACAGTAACGAGCGACGATACGAAAGAAATCACACTGTCACGCTTGAATTCCATCACGAATAACTTTTTTTCTGGAAAATTTCCACCAAAAAATAAATCTTAAAATACCGCATATTTGAAGGTACCGTTATGTGAGGGACCGATATTGACATGTCTACTGATAAAATACACATGTGCTCAAAATTTCAATCTTCTATCTCAAATGCAAAACGGTCATTGCTAATCGACTTAGAATTTTAGGTTGAGCATGCATACTTTGAGGAGTCACAAATTGAATGACAAAGTTAATATATCCTCCAGTGTATGGTGAGGTACATGTTTTATAGAGTTTTTGAGTTCTTTTTATCGATCTGGCATATGTGAATTAAAATATATTCAATATTTTTATTTAAAGTCTGCATAGCAACATCGAACCTAACATTCATCAACCGTAATCCATAGACGAGTTTGCACTGAGAGTTTCACTCGTTGCTTTATGAAACGGTGCAACATTTCGTTGAAAACATAAAATCCTCCTTTTTTCCAAAATTTTTAAACCTGGAAACTTTTTTTGGGAATGGAGTATGGTTTCGGTTATAATTAATTTTCCCACTCTCTGAATGATTGGATATAAAAATATGAAAGCAAATATGAAATTGAAATCTATATTTTTGTTGCCAATTACTATTTTTTCCAAATCTATTCTGAAATAACATAAATCGATCGATAATACATTATATACTTTCACATGGGTTAACGATTTCAAACGGATGAATGTACACATACACAATTGTATATAATGTGTGTGTGTATGTAATTTTTCTCAAAACTAGAAATGGGAAACCAAAGAAAACAAAAACTTTTCTAAACATCCACTTTGCAAACAGATTATCTATAAACGAAAATCACAATATTTTTTGGAAACATTTCTCGTGTTAATGACGCAATTTCAGCAAGCCAATTTGCCATCCTCTCCCCCAAAACGGTCTATGGGTAGACAATTTGTTATGGATGTTCTGATTTCAGAATATTCATAAGAGAAAAAAAATATTACTAGTTGTCCATTTTATGCCGAGCACAAAAATTCAAACTGGCAGGGGGTTCTGCGTACACCTCTAGAGAAGAGTTTTCTTCCTTCTGGGTTGGAAAGCAAATCTCAAGAATTTTATTTTTAGCTTGATTTTTCCAACTAAAAAAATGTTCCTCATTCTGATGGCAAGTGTGTGCGTGTGTTGCCACCCCAAGTGTAGGAGTTTTGTTGCCTATATGTATGTACATATATGCATGCGTAATTTTTTGTTTCGCCTAAGAAAAAAATCTCTAATTTTACTTTTAAATAATTCAAAAGTAATTTTTTAAAAAAAAATGACAAAACAATTTTTCTCACAACGTCTATTATTTATTATTATGTGTGGGTATCTGGACCACCTCCAGATTTTTGATTTGAAGTGGCAGCATACATATCATTTGAAAATGTGCGGTGTGTTTGAAGATACCTGCCGAATTTTACTATCACTCACTCACACACACAGAGATACTCCGACATTGTCATTTTGTGTATATCATAATGAGAGTGAAATGTTTTTTATTAAAATTCTATAAAAGATACTCTGTGTTGGAACTTTTTTTGTTCTTCCACTTGTCTGTCTTCGTTTGTGCATTTCAAACAATCGCCGAGAAAGAGATCTTATGCACTTTTTCCTCAGCAATTTTCAGACGGCACCAATAATTTCTGTTGTTCTTCTTCTCTAGGCAATATTCAATTTTTAGAAGAGCAGAAAAAAAATAAATTCAAACATTTTTATGTTTCTATATCCCACATACTGTGTGTGTATTTATACACTGAGGAACAAAAGTGTACACACGCACACAGACTCACAGCTGTGGGTTGGTTATATGATATATTTCGGGTGTCCCGTGGCATTATCTTGACACACGTTATGCTTATTATTTTTTTCTCCTATGGACAATAAAAATATGTTGAACTTTTTTTGTTCTTTTTTTGATTTGTGTGGAATTTGTTTACGTTGAAAATTTCCCTTGTTTTCTTTTTCTCTGTTTCTGCGGTGACAAGACAATTAATTAGTGTTCTGATTTCGTTATTTCTGTCCTCTCAGACAGCTTCTGTTTTTGGAGACATAAATTCTGCTGTGTAACATCAAACGAATACAAATATGTATGTATGTATGTATGTATGTATGTATGTATAGATAAATATACATTTTTTTGTTTTTCCTCGGCAATCAAGCGTAAATTTCTTAGACAAATGTTTGCCTTAAAATATGATTATTTTCACAGATAATTGAGCAGATTGATGTGTTTCTGTGTGTATGTTTTTGTATCAAACATGTCAATTTATAGATCATTAGCAGTATTGATCATGTTCTTTTGTGGGCCAAAAATGAACAGTCAGACATATTTGCAATGCATCGATATCCGTCTTCTGCGTCGTAGAAATGTCTGTCCTTAGACATCGACAAAAAAAAGACATGAATGATGAAACTTGCATTCCTTTATATATGCCCTTAGAAGTTCCACGAACCCGTTTTATTATTCTGTACCTAAAAAGGATAACTTATTTTTATACCCTCCACCTTGATATACTTGAAAAGGAGAGTATATTAACTTTGTGATTCCATTAAACGTAGAGCTTCAAAATTTGGCACAACAATTTGTATTGTGTCTAGGATGGTTGGTATTGAAATAGGATATATCGGCCCACGTTTTGGTATAGCCGCCATTTAACGGTACCTCCCGATATTCGGAATTTTCATGGTTTTCGCCATATTTTTTCACGGTCTTGTCCAAAAATTGGTATTTGTAAGTTATAAGGGGTTCTAACTCCGGTGGCGAAACATTGTGTACATAGGTCCACGTTTTTGTATAGCCCCCATATAACGGTACCTCCCGATATTCGGAATTTGCATGATTTTCACCACATTTTTTCACGGATTTGTCCAAAAATTGGTATTTGTAAATCATAATGGGTTCTAGCTCCAGTGACGAAACGTTGTATGCATAGGTCCAAGTTTTTATAGCCCCTTTATATTAGTGTAAAGATTGGTGTGTGTAGCTCGTAATGGGTTTTAACCATCACACGCTGCCCGAATGTTGCATTGCGGTATTTTGGCCCATTCCCGGCGAATCGCTTGCTTGAGGTGATCGACACTTTGGTATTGACACTTTTTAGTGCCAGCCTTGCTTTTGCCATTGTGCGCTGGAAATGAAGCGAGAAACCTCATTTTGTAACCATTTTTGGGTGGCGCGTGCTGAGTCCTGTTGGAATGCCCAAGGCCTGCTGCCAAAATGTTTGCATGCCTAAGGCTTTAATACACCCTGATGCCAAGGTCGATTATCACGAGCGGAGTGTGACCATCGGCTGTTATGGCGGCCCACACCATCACCATTTCCGGCGCTTGAGTTCTGGTGGGTAACCGAAGGTTCACATTTTCAGCTGACCTCTTTGGCAAGTAGACACAATCATTTTGTTTGTTTACAATCTGCTGGACAAGGAATGTTTTCTCATCGGAGAAAACCAAAGTCGGCAGTTCACCACTTTCGGCCAAGCAAAGCAACTCTTTAGCTTCTTTGAGTCCTCTTAGCTCTTTTGAGACACAAAAGATTTGTTCACATTTAAGTGCTGGAGTGCTCTAACGGTAGCCACTTGTGGTCTTCCAGCCAAATATAAAGAAATCACACTATATCGCTCTGGAATTACATCACGAATAACTTTTTTTTCTGGAAAATTCTCACCAAGTGCTTTTGTACGCCATTAAATACTAAGAATTTTTTCTTCTGAAAATGCATCTTAAAATCCACTTATTTCAATTAATAGACATCCATACTTAGAAAGGGTGAAATATAGCTTGCAGTTCATTGACCCACATATGCAGTATAAATATTTACATTAATTCCCAACTTCTCCCTCCTTTCAAATCCGTTATTAAATTTTATACTTTTTTATCCAAATTTCAGGTGAGGGCGCCAAAATGATCTTGGAAAAACAATTCGACGCCGATTGGGCCAAGAACTTGAAAATCGTCTACTGCGGTGACGACACCACCGATGAAGATGCCATGAAAATGTTGTCCGGCATTGGCAAAACTTTCAGAGTCTCTGAATTGCCCAACTTGAAGACCTATGCCAACTTCCAAATCAAGACTGTCGAAGAAGTCGGCTGGTTGTTGAAGGCTATCCAAGCCAACTATGAAAAGAAGAAGAACTAAGAAGTTTGCAGGCAGAAGATAATGTTTTATATTAATGATAATAATAATAATAATTATGTTAGAGTCTTTAACAATATAAACAAAAATAATTAAAGTAAAGCAACAAAGATAATACTAGGGGCGGCGGACATAACTTTTTTGGTACCCAATTTTTATTTTCATACATATATGTATTTAATTTAAATAAAACAAATTTGTAATAAACATCAAAATAATAATCTAAAAAAATACAAATGAAAATAAATTATTTTATTTGTTTTTTCTTTCAACATTTCATTGTATTTGTAATAAACACAATATAATTTGAAACTATTGCCTAGTAGTTTGTAAAACGTCCCTTACACAAAACCGAGCTAAAAAATAAAAAGTGGTATAATTGAGTTAGGAATAGTTAGCTCCATGCTCATTTGCCACTACTTTCAAACTTAGCGGGACTAAAAAAATGTTGTAAAAATAAAGAATAAACTAAAGTAAAAATCGTTAAGAAGAATTTTTAAAAATTGAAAAATAGTTCTGGTAATATACATGGACCACTATTTTACCAAAATATAACAAGTAAAAAAGCTCTAAGGCCGGTCCGAACTTTGAATACCCTCCACCATTTGGAACGAATTTGGCAAAACAATAAAATCCGTTAAAAATTCTGTTAAAATCTTAAAAATACCGAATGTAGCTGTTATATTGGGGTCTTTACGACGACATGGACCTCCATAGTTAACTTTTGTCATAAGCCATTACAATATTCAAATGCTAAACTTCGGTGAATAATGTAGCTAAATCATCAAAATACCGAATATCTGGAGGTACCGTTAAATGGGGGCTATACAAAGACGTGGACCTACACAAACAATTTTCTGTCTTATGCTGTAGTATCCATTACGAACTTCAAATACGAAATTTGAAACAATTCCTGTGGATAATGTCGTTTAAATCAACAAAGTACCGAATATCGGGAGATATAGTTCCAGTCCATTCTTTTGTCTAAATCCAATTGTTTCCACCAGATATTATATGATATTCAAATCTATTGACTAGTGCGAACTCGCCTATTACAACAACGAACGACATCTACATATTTTTCAAACACATAAAAATAATTTATGTCAGACAACCACCACTAACTTGCCTTTTCATTTTTGATTTTTAGAAACCTGCCTAATGTCTCTAGTGGAAAAGAGAAAAAATATATTTTCTCTATTTCTGATCTATAGAAACCTACCATCTTCACGATTACTCGGTTACTGTCGACTTTGACATTTCACAATGTAAACAAAACTAGTTCCATTTAGTGAATATATTTTTCTACCACGGAACAACTCATCAAAGACAGATAACTCCACCAAAAAAAACCCATTGGCCACATAACTACAAACATTCCATTAAAATGGATTCCAAATTAGATGTAAGTACCTCTCATTGTAATTTCTAATCAACAATAAACATTTTATTGGAACACTATTAGATGGATGACTACTCCAATGCTAGTCTTGAGGGTGATATGTCAATACCGGGCAGCAGCAAGACAAATAATGCTCCAATTGGTGCACCTGATTTTAATACACTGGATGAACCCATTAAGGAGACAGTTGTAAGTAAAGTTCCATGCAATTCGAAACTTAATTTTGGATTTAATTGCAGTTTAGTGGTACCACCCAGATCTATGTAACATGACACCACAAGACGTAGAAATTGTCCACATCACACAAATTGCAAGAGCACTACAAGAAGCCAAGGCCCTTTATTATAAGTTATGTTTTCTTATTGGTTGGATTTCTAAAGCCAAAACCAACGTGTTTGAACGACTTTAAATCAGAATTGACATTCAAAGGTGAAATGATCCTTGTTTTCTTTTAAATATCAATTCAATATGTAATATTATTCGAAGTGTTTGAATCTATTCGAAAAATCCAAATAAGAAAATTGCAACTTGTAATCAAGGTTTATGAAACTAATGAAAACAAGTACTATACACAAAGGTCTGGAAAATATAATATGTTATATTTATATTCCTATGTCCTTGGTATCTGGGTGTGTCTTCTAGAAAAAAAATCAAATGGCCAATTAATTTTTGAACATATGCACATGTCTCAACAAATTTGGTTGTACTTCTAAACTGCTAAAAAAATGTAGAAACAAACATTTACATATTTTATTTTGATAGTTGCGTGATGTACGAGCAGTGGGTGTGAAATTCTATCATGTCCTTTATCCCAAAGAAAAGTCAAGTTTATTAAAGGATTGTAAGTATATATGATGTTTAGAATGTTAACATTTATAAAAAATACGCTCCTTTTTTCAGGGGATCTATGGGGTCCTTTAGTTTTGTGTACATTCATGGCCACAATTTTACAAGGCTCATCTGTAGGAGATTATGATGGCGGTCCGGAATTTGCTCAGGTTTTTGTCATAGTGTGGATAGGTGCTGCCATTGTAACGTTAAATTCTAAGCTTTTAGGTGGCAATATGTAAGCATAAACCCTACTAAATAGTAAACCAAATGGACATAACTTAGCATGTTTTTTTTTTGTCTGCAGCTCATTTTTCCAATCTGTGTGTGTTCTGGGATATTGTCTTACACCCGTTGCCATATCACTTATAGTATGTCGTATTATTTTGCTTGCCACGCAATCACCACTACTATTCTTTTTGCGTCTTTTAACCACAACATTAGGATTTCTATGGGCTACTTACGGTAAGAACTTTAGCAAATTTATAAGAAGAACCACTTACATTGAATGTTTTGTCATTTCAGCTTCTTTCATTTTCCTGGGTGACAGTCAACCACCCAATCGCAAACCATTGGCTGTTTATCCTATATTCCTCTTCTTCTTCATTATATCTTGGTTGGTGATATCCCACAATTAAGATTGGTGACTCATGTATTTATAAGGCCCTTTAGAATAAAAATGAAAATTCTAGCAATAATATTGGCATTTCTGTGTGCGTTTTTGTTTATTTTTGATTGTATATTATGTTCATTTTGCCAAAACAAAAAGTATTTTATATTTAACTTCCAATTTAAATAAATAGAAAATGCTTTGTATGATTATATGTTTATATGTATTTCGTGATTGTAGGGACATACTACGTACCACCTGTGCTACGCGAGACGATGTTTCTTATTTTTTTTATGTCAGTGAAATAGTTGTAAATTGCTCTTATCTAGAAGTAAATTTAGTGTTTACACGAACTATTTGGTGTTGTATGCTAAAGGAGACTATTCTTTGAGATGATTCCGGTCACGTATTACATTATTTAAAAAGCCGATCGGAAATGTGATGGAAACAGGCATAATTATATATTACTTTGGCAAAATGCGTCTTTTGGATATATATTTCCAAAATCCCTCTATTTCAATAAAATGGGCGAGTCGAAATAACCTCCATCAAATATCTGAATATGATTTAATTTATTTATTTATTATTATTTTTTTTTTTTTTTTTTGAAATATTTTATGCTTGGTATAATTTGTGTTTGTTGGCATCAATCTCAAGTGATTGTGGACTACAAGAAAATACTTTGCTCGCCGAATTCTCCATTTAAAAACCGATAACCTATTCTATCCTCGCAGATAATACAGCATTCTTCTATATAAGAAAACCTCTGGCAAGTTATGGAACAGAGTATATATGAACTTGTAGTTTCCCCTTAACTAAACACAAGTTTATGAATATCCGTTCTATTTGCGAAAAACACAACCATTTTTAATTAAAATAAACAATTATTTATTGATAAAAAATATTAACGAACTGATTAAGGTACACATCTAGGGATTATCATTCTCCAGCTTTGGAATGAATACTTATAAATTCATTGGAATGTTTTAAACATGTTCCACGTCCAGACTATTCGAATTGGAGGCAATTTCCAGTGACATTTGGGTTCGTACTCCATCTCCCTTCGGATTACGGTAGGTCAGTGAATTTGCCCGCGCCTTTCGTCCCATAAAGTGACGTTCGACCCATTTCAACATAGTGTAGACAGAGTCTGTCGATGGCAAACGATGATCAGCAGCGGTTTTAACAATATCCGAGGATGTCACACGGAATGTGCGTGCCATACCCTTGAGGGCAACCATTGCATCTTCATCGGTCAAATCGTCGCCAACGTAGATAATTTTAATGCGTTCGCTCCAATCCACACCAAATGAGGTGCGTAAAATATATATGGAAGCGCGACCTTTATTCCATTGTACGGGTGGACGAGCTTCCAAGGCACAATGGGCCTCTGTTGCTCTAAATCCATACTTGATCATTAAGCTGCGGGCCTTTTCAATCATGGCTGGTCTCAGTTGATTAGGTGTTTCACGATAATGGAAGGTCAGTAGGGCACCTTTGTTTTCAACCCAGGCGCCATCACGGCAAACCTGCAGAAACAAACAAGCGTTATAGTTATAAAACTACTGATTTCTAAATTATATTTCATAACCTACCGTATCTTGCAGAGCTTTTAATAGTTGACTGACTTTGTTCTCAAATTCTATGGGCATTGGATGTACAAATTTACTGCCATCGGGATGTAGAATTTCCAGACCATGATTACCGGCATATGTGATTCCATCGATGCCAACCATTTTCTTCACGTTATCCACATTGCGACCAGAGATAATGGCCACATATACATCCGAATGGTTGGACAATTTAAAAAGTAGATTTTTCATTTCTGGTGATAGTGTTGCCAAATCGGGGTGAGGGGCTATTGGCGCCAAAGTACCATCATAATCCAATAACAACGCCAATTTGTGATTGTAGCCAATGTATCTGAAATAAAAAGGATATTTGTTGTAATTCATAGTGAATATGCGAACCTTTTTTAAAAACATACTTCAGTAAATAATCATCAAAATCGTCCACGGTTACCGGTTGCATTGTCGTCGTACCCACATCATCCATTTCCAATGTGCCCATAGCCTTAAGGAAACAACGCATCCAATGATTAACATCACACTCTGACTCACGTCTTCTCAAACGACTCATGCGCAGCGTTCTCTCATCCTCGGGCATTGTAAGGGCTCTGTGTATAACTTCAGCGGCCTGATGTACTTCATAGGGATTACTGAGTAAAGCTTCGTGCATCATCTCTCCCGCACCAGCAAATGGAGATATAATTAGCACGCCGGGAACTGGATTAATTTGGCAGGCTACAAACTCTTTGGCCACCAAATTCATGCCATCTCTAAGGGGAGTAACTAAGCACACGGCAGCATCACGATATAGAGCGGCCAACTCGTCCTGAGCTACATAATCATAAATGTAACGTATGGGAGCCCAGTTGGCTGTCGTGAAACGTCCATTAATACGACCCACCAACTGATCCACCTCTTCCTTTAATTCACGATATTCTTTCACATCCGTTCGTGAGGGCACCGAAATTTGCAGCAGAGAAACTTTTTCCTTGTGCTGCGGATACTTTTCCAATAGAACCTCAAATGCCATCAAGCGATGCACCAAACCTTTGGTATAGTCCAAGCGATCCACACCCAATATTGTCTGTTGCTGTTCTGTGCCTTTCAGGACACTCGGTGCCTCCTTAGCCAAATTGACAAAACGTTCATAGGGTATGCCGATGGGCAGTGGACGAACACGCACCGTGCGTCCACCGTGTTCCACCAACAGGTTGTTGCGGTCCACACGGCAACCCAAGTTACGTTGGCAACAATCCACGAAATTCAAACAGTAGTCCTGTATGTGAAAGCCCACCAAATCACAGCCTAGCATGCCCTGTAGTATTTCATCCGACCATGGAAACAAACGGAAAATATCCCATGGTGGAAATGGGATGTGCAAAAAGAAGGCCAAACGACAGGGTAATTTCTTTTCCTCAGCCTGTTCGCGGACCCAATTGGCTGCCAACATCAAGTGATAGTCATGAATCCAAACTATGGGAGGATTCTTGTCCTGGCCACTGTTCTTGGCCAAGCATTTCTCCAATGCTTCTATGGTACGAGCAGCGAAATGTTTATTCACCGTAATGTAATCGTTCCAGTGATCAGCACCAAAGGTAGCTCTGCCTGGCATGGAGTGGAATAGGGGCCAGAATATTTTATTGCAGCAGCCATTGTAATAACTGTCGAATATTTTCGGATTTATATTGACTGAGACGACCTGTTTATGGAAATGGAGAGATGAAAAAATATTAATCGTAACTTAAGGGAATATATTAAAGGTCAATATTAAGATCTGGGGCTAGATTCTTGTTTAATAAAAAAAAGGAAATGAAAAATATTCGATTTTAAAAATTTTCATTTGACATTTCTTTCCTTTATAAAAATTATTAATTACTATTTTAATTTTAAAAAAATGAGTAATTTGGATAACACATAATTTCAATACTGTCAATTATCAATTCATTTTTTACTCGCTATTAAATTTTTCATCACACATTATTTGTATGATAACTACTGTGATAATTGACTGAATCTGAATTGAGAGATTATTTTAACATTTTTTTAATAAGATAAAATACTCTGATTTTAGAAGCAAATTGTAGAAAATGAAAATATAGCTTAAATAGTATAGATTAAAAATATACACTCAGAGCTAGCTATTGTGTGTCGAAAAAACAATACGAAACAAAGGAAAGGAATTCTATGACTGTTTTTATTAGTAATTTATTTCTGTACGACAATACGAAAATGAACTGAACAAAAAAACATCAATTTATTTTAAATTAAACAATTTCTTAAAATTTTGGAAAACATACAAGGAATATGTGTTGTCCTTTTGAGTTTTCTTTCCAATTGTTATACAAACCCAGGCTATTAATTGTTATTTAATGGTTTTTTTTTTTCGTTCAATTTCTTTTGATGTTTTTAACAGTCCCTTTAATTTTTTGGTATTCAAAATAACCTCAAAGTTGAATAGTATTTTCAATTACCTGTTCAGATTTCAGACCAGCTGTTGGTGTTTGATCCGTTGGATTTGATTCTGGAATAGGTTCATTTGGATCCTGTAAATGAATTCCGGGCCAACCAACCCATAGACCATGGCCACGAATGACAACGGGACACACAGCTGTAACCAAACCGCCAGCACTAAAAATTAATAAAGAAAGAAACACCAAAAATTAACCCTTGGACGAATTTATTAATATTGCTGTTTTTTTTACGTAAATTTAATCTATGTGTTAAAACTTTCTACTTCAATGTGTGACAACAACAAAAAATACAAAAAAGCTTAACTTTATTTGCGCAGAGTGTGCGTGTGTGGCGTATAACATATTCTATTCATAAATGAAGTATACGCAACGTTGAATTGGTCTTTAAGTCATGCAAAGCATGGGGAAATATTGCCAAAAGAAATGGATAAATGTAAAGAAGATATGAGCCATTATACACTTCTAACATACAATAGAAATAAGTTATACATAATTAAACGCTTCGAGAAATAAAAAATCTTCAGGCTTGAGGTGGAACGTTCATTATTTGTTATTAAAACGATGATATTCTGATTGAAAATCCTTGTAGGAGAAAATATGGTTTAAATTTGTTATACTTAAAATCAGGCCGTACACTTATATCGAGGCCTTATCAAAATACGACAATACAAAAAAACCAATTTTTGAATCTTATTGGCTTCTGAATTAGCATGGAGTCATCTTAATTATAATTTATTTAACTTATCTTCCAATATTTGTGGTGGAAACTGTCAGTCGGTGAGATCAAGTTGTTGTGCCCCCAAAAGAATTTTAATGATTAGAGATGGGTCAAGTTTAAAGTCGTAGTATATTCTGCTAACAATTTGTTACTAAATGCATTGTTCCAGAACATGCAAGAATCTACAAGTTTTACGATATAATAAAGAGAAAAAGAGAAAACAATAGGCAGGCATTTTGAAATTTGAAACTATTTTTTTCAAAAATTTCAGAAAAAGACTGATTTCTGTCCGAGGATAACAAACTGTTAGGAATATTTTAAATATTCCAATAAGGTCTGTATTTTATATATTAATTTATAATATTTTAAAAACTGAATTATCTACTAAGCTGTACAGGAGAAAAGACACACAAAGGTCATCATATCCTAAAACATCTTCAATAAAATGAGTAGAAGTAACGCGTCAGTGATACCTATTCAGTGGGAAAGTGGAGTTAGAGTTTAAATAGACATTTGTTTATTATATTTTTGGTAGCAATTTAATTGTTTAGATGCAGAGTATATCAATTTTGTCATTCCATTGTTACACTTTGAAATATAAGTTGGAGAATTTAAAGTATATTTGATGAGCGTTAATGATATATTCGTATATTGACTAAGCAGTTTCAAAATATTTTGAAAATTTGGACGATTTTCCAATCCAATTGTTTGTACTATGGTATTCTAGGCTCTCGAAGGATTTAAACCATACATGCAAACATGTTCATATACATCCATTATAGAGGCATATCCTCCCATTGAATAGTAAATCCCCTTGTCTTTTCAACTTCCAAATGAATCGACTGAAATTTGGCATTTTTGCGTTTTTTATAGAAGAATTCAATAGACTTGTGCTATTAGTCATGGGTTCAACATAACGTCACTTAACGATCCCAGGACTTTGAAGACCATGTAGTACTATTCACTTACTCATTTTTTAGGTTACAGACAAAAGTTACAGGCTACTTAGTGACCACAATAAATAAGTAGTCACGATTTTTTCGATATCTCAGAAAATCAATTCGAGAATTTATAATAATTTGTATTTGGAAATCTAAATAGGTCGATCACATAAGGTTTTAGGGATATTATATATTATAGTTATTGTTTTTTTAAGTTCCTAGCCACATTTTCGACGAATTTAACATTTTCTTGTTGAATGTTATTAAAAATTATTAAATATGTAGGCAGATTCTGTGATAAAATAACACTATACCTGTTATAGTTAAGTCATATGTAAATATGTCTTGTTACTTGATTTTATAAGTAATAAGTAACAAAGCAGTAAGTTCGGTCAGACCGAATTTTGAATACCCTCCATCATTTGCAACGAAGTTGGAAATTTTCAAAAGAATTATATCCGTTAAAAATTCTGTCTAAATCGTAAATACCGAATATAGCCCTTATATTGAGGTCTATACGAAGACATTGTCCTGCATAAGCAACATTTGTCATAAGCCTTTATAATATTCAAATACGAAACTTGAAAAGAAATAGGTATAGGGAGGTACCGTTTGGGGCTATATGAAGACCTGGACCTACATAGACAATTTTCTGTCACAAGCTGTAGTTCCTATGAGGACATTTCAAACAATTTCGGTGAATATTAGAGGTACTGATATATGGGGCCTAATAAAAAGACCTGGAGCTGCATAGACAATTTTCTATCATAACCTGTAGTTCTAAATACGAAATGTGAAACAACTCCGGTGAAGAATGTCGCTAAAATCATCAAAATACCGAATATTGGAAGGTACAGTTATATGGAGGCTAAAAGAAGGCGTGGACCTACAAACACAATTTTTTGTCGTAGGCTGTAGTACCCATTACGAATTTTAAATAAATAATAGTAAAATAGTCAAAATATTGAATATGTGGGCTAAACGATATCGTGGACCTATATAGACATTTCTCTTCAAGGATGATTAGAAAAAATTCCAGTATGGATTTTTAGACAATTCCATTGAAAAATGTAGCTAAAATCATCAACATACCGTTATATGGGGGATATACGATATCGTGGACCTATATAGACAATGCTCTTCCAGGGGGTAAAGTACTCAGAAGGAATTCCTTTTGTGGATTTTCGAATTTCATTGAAAAATTAGGCCACAATCATCAAAATACAATACAAAATACATTAGAGGAAGCTATACAGTTGCCAACCACCAGCATGGATTCCGTCCACAACATAGTACCACAACAGCATTACACGCCATTTCCACACATATTAGTAGAGGACTGAACCAGAACAGGCCGTGTGACAGAACAGTGTTGATAGCCCTAGACCTATCAAAGGCATTTGATACGGTCAATCATGCCACACTGTTTGAGGACGTACAGAGAACTACCCTCCGGCCAAGTTTGAAACGTTGGATAATCAACTATATGTGTGGACGCCAGTCGTACGTGGAATTCCGGAACAAGAAGTCCAAAGCCCGTAGAGTGAAACAGGGAGTTCCCCAAGGCGGGGTGATATCTCCGGAACTGTTTAACCTCTACCTTTCTGGAATTCCTCGCCCTCCAGACGGCATTGAGATCGTAACGTATGCGGATGATTGTACGATCATGGCGTCGGGTCCAGTGGTCGATGACATATGCGAAAGGTTGAACCCCTATCTCGCGGAGCTTGCCGCATACTTCCACGCGAGGAATATGAAAATATCCGCCACGAAATCAACGGCCACACTCTTTACCACATGGTCTGCGGAGATGAGAACACAGCTGAATGTTCAGGTCGAGGGGAATCTAATACCGACCACGAACTACCCCAAGATTCTTGGGGTAACGTTCGACAGCATGTTCAAGTCGTCCGCGCAAGCCACAGCTATCTGCGACAAGATGAAAAGTAGGAACAAGGTCCTCAAGGCGCTAGCCGGCAGCTCTTGGGGTGCGGACAAAGAAACCTTGTTGACCTCTTATAACGCGATAGGTCGGTCTGTGGTCAACTACGCGGCTCCAGTGTGGTCTGCGAATACTAGTGCTACGCAGTGGAAGAATATCCAGACCTGCCAGAACGCTGCCCTGAGAACTGCGACAGGGTGCCTCCTCATGACACCAGTGGACCATCTACATGAGGAGGCGAAAGTCCTTCCCTTACGTCAGCATAATCATATGCTTTCGTTGCAGTACCTGCTTGGGTGTTACCGTGAGAGTCATCCCAACCATCATATGGTGGATAACTCTCCCCCACCCAGGCGTGTCAGGAAGGACATACATGATCTAGAGAGGGAGGTCCAGCGCTACAAGAGAGAGCCTCTAGATCAAGAAGCCTATCAGGCAGGTCTGAGTGGCATTCACACCGATGCAGTCGCGGATGCTATTAGCAGTTACAAAGTGAATGCCGTCCTCGGAGTCCACCCCCCCATCCATTGCAGCCGAAGAACGTCAGCTGCCTAGACAAACCAGGGTAGTTTTGGCGCAATTACGTTCAGGATGGTGTAGTCGCCTCAATTCGTATTGGGCACGAATTGATGAAGATGTGCGTGACGCCTGCCCGGCGTGCGGTACAGGCCCGCACAATACGTTACACCTTTTTAATTGCTCAGCCAAACCTACCCAACTCACTCCAGAGGATCTCTGGCTACAGCCCGTTAAAGTAGCCGAATTTCTAAACCTGGAGCTGGAACCAGATTAGCAGAACAGAAACACACACATGTACTACTGCTACAACAACAACAAAATACTAAACTATATCGTGGACAAATATAGCCCATCTTCGAACATGACCTTTTTTTTATTAATTATTATATTTTGTCTCTAGTTTATAAATGAATTTTTGTTTAAAAAATGCTGAAACCATTTATTTTTTCCATTACAACGTAATATCAAAACGAATATAACGAATATAAATAAACAAATATAGTTAATAAGTTGCCTTTCCTGGGCAAACAGCTCTAATACTCTAGAGAAAAAAAACTTCAGTTTTAAAATTTAAAAATATAACGGTTGGGTCGGGGTGTATTCATGTAGATCAAATTGCCTATCATTTACTTATATAATATATTATTTTTAATTCGACCTATAAAGTTACAGTATATATAATTTATAACACTAAATTCATGACTAAAGTCCATTCAATTTGTGATGAGTTTAATTTTTTCTAGGAAATAATGCGGAAGAGTTTTTAACGACCCTAATATGAAAATATTTCACTGACAATATTTTCCTCGAAAGTATTATTTGTTTGTGGAAACTCGCACATATTTAAAATCGAATAATTTAATATGTCTGAAAATCTTCACTAGCTGTAGTACAGTGTGAAATGCATCATAAAATGTAGACACACACACACGTTCACATAACTACTATCTGTCAACTATTATTGTCAATGGCCCGTGTAACTTGATTTTCAAACATTCTTTCAACCCTTATAGAAAACGTAGAGCAGCAACAAGAACAAATTAACATGCGAATACAGTCGATAGTGATAAGAAATTAAATCCACGATTAACGAAGAATATTATAATTAGTATTGATGCTGATGATGTTGTTGTTGTTGTTGCTGCTGCTGCCGTTGTTATTGTCATTGTGAAAGGCGTATCAATCAGCTAGCCAGCACTGGCGAGGACACAGTGACAATGGACTCAATGTCAGTGACATTTCAGGCAACCCAAATAATCGCCAAAGATCAAAGTCGCCACAATAGCATTTCCACTTAATTATTTCATTCGGAAAACACTTACCTTGCTTTACGTTCCAATTTTCCGGTTGTGGGATTTCTAACCAACACAAAAGGCAAGCGATTGGAAACAACAATTAAACTAGCTTTAGTGGTGGGCTCAGATGAGTTGGTAACAATTATTTCCGTTTCAACCATTTTTATGGCTCTCACTATTCTCTTATTACGTTTTACGAAAGTTTATCTTTTAATTGTTTTTTTTAAATTTCAATTTTTTTTGCATTAAAAATTCATTATCCTTTGATTGAATGTTTTACTCCTTTCTCACAAACACATGCACACTTCAGGCGTAGTATTTTTGTGGAATTGTCACACGGACTTTTGAATTAGTCAATCAACTATGCGAATTGTCTTTTGTCAAGACGTTCCTCGGCGTTCCCCCAAGCAGATGAGTCTGTGACCACAACCGAAACAGTTCTGAATAAAATAGCCAGTAGACAAACAACCTATAGCGCCAAAACCAGACCCCGATGCAAACAAACAAAAAATGCAGTTCGGAGCGGCTTATTATCGTTCTCATTCGGCTGCATTTAAATGCATCGATCAGTAGCGCCCCGCTGCTGCCCGCAGCCCATCTGCCGTCTTCGTTGTTCGCTCGCTTCTTATCAGTCGAAGAAAGCAAAGCTCGGCCAGATGAGAACGACAATAGATAGAGATAGAGAAGAGGATAGGATCAAATGGTAAGCCTGTAACTACTTGACGGGCTATTTGATTAACTTATCATCGTCGCACTTACTATTTTCGTCTTATTGTTGTTGTTGCTGCTGCTATTTTTATTGCTATTGTTGTTGTCTTATTGTTTTCCATATTTAGTTTTTGCACAAATAAACTGTTAAATTCTTTGGTAAATAATTACAGAGAATATGTGAGGGTGTGTGTGTGTGGAAATTACAACTTTGGGTTATATTTTCGAAGATGAATCCCTTTCTGGTTTTGATTATTTCTGTCATCGGCTGACGACATTTTCAAGTCGTATCTGGTGTGTACTAGCTACACATTTCTTTTTGTCCCATGTCCAAAATATGTCATTGTAGTTTAAATAAATATTTGTTGTTTGGACTTTTGGTTTGGAGCACAAATCAAAATCGTCGGACACAACATAAATACATATGTATGTAACGACCAGAATTATAAATAGGATACACGCGAAAAAAAATATAAACAAGTAAAAATGCTGTAAGAACTCTGAATACCCTACACTCTGAATATGCAACGAATTTCGCAATTTTCAAAAAAATAAAATCCGTTAAAATTTTGTTAAAATGTTAAAAATACGACGACGTGGACCTGAATAGGCAACGTTTGTCATAACCCATTACAATATTCAAATGCGAGACATGAAAAAAAATCGGTGAATAATGTCGCTAAAATCATCAAAATATCAAATATCGGGAGGAACCGTTATGTGGGGGCTATGCGACCTGCAAAGACAATTTTCTGTCTTAGGCTATAGTATCCATTACGAACTTCAAATTCCAAATTTGAAACAATTCTGGTAAATAATGTTGGTAAAATCAACAAAGTACCGAATATATAGAGGTTTCGTTATATAGGCGCTATGCCAAAACGTAGACCTACATGGCCAAAAGTGCTGCAGACATAATATATATTTGAGTAAAATTTTATCAGCCTACTTCATTTCGTTCGGAAGCTAGAGTGATTTCCACAGACGGACGGACGGGCGGACGGACGGACATCGCTAAATCGACATAGAATTTTATGCTGATCAAGAATATATGTATACTTTGTGGATTCTAAAATGTATATTTCGAGGTGTTACAAACGGAATGACAAACTTAATATACCCTCCATACTAAGTTGCACCCTTAGTATGGAGGGTTTATTAAGTTATGCGTTATACATGAACCAAATAATTCAGCATTTGATTATTAAGAGAACTTTTAACATGCCCCATACGCTTTAAACTATTGTGTGGAAGTTACCAGAAGGAGTAGAGAAAATAATATGTGCCATGCTTGGACCAAGTCGGAGCCATCATGTAGTACTGATGGTAATAAGTCGTAAAATAGAAACTGTTCCCTTTTATACAACAATTTTTTACTAATTATTTTTTATTTAAATTCAATATTAGACTTCAATAAAATGTTATACTAATATTTCAAATACTACTTAACATATTTAACTAAAAAAAATATTCATATGTGAAGATAAGCTGCTACAAAAACAAATCACCGAAAAACCTCCGCTGAATCAATCATCACAATATTGCCATTATTATACAATACACATATATATATTCAGTATAATTCAAAATATAATTTTGAGAACAACAATGGTTTGACCCTCTTCTATAATAAACATTTATTTTGTGTATACACATTCGGGTACATTGATCTATCGCAAAAAATTGAAATCCAAAAGACCGAAAGGTGTCCATATGCGATATGTGAGTGTGTGTGTATGTGTGTGTGTGTCTTAAGATTGGGCGTGTGAATCAAATTGGTATTATGAAAACAAACCGATATGTATTTTATAATAATTGAATCTCTCTGCTTCCAGATGACATATTACTTTTTCTTTTGCCGAAATTAGCTTTGTTGCGGAAGGCCGTAATAAAATTTTGAATTAAATATTTGAAATTATCTTGGAAAATGGTCAAAGGCATCGTGAGACGATTATTATGCGAGAATTTTTTTTTTTTTTTACTAAAAATTATTATCAATTCAATGTTAATATTTTGGAAAGCGAAATTCGAGAATATTTTTTGGATGAAATGAAAAAAGTACCTTGATGAAACTAATTAATTGCGTTGCATAACACAAAAGGCGTAACAAAGATTAGAAGAAAAGAAGGATTTTTGTATATTGTAAATGTGTAAAATGTTGTATATATATTAATTAGTACATAATCCGAAAATTTGAGAAAAAAGAATCTGTATTAATTGTTGCAAATTTTTACAGGAAAACTTGTAACACAAATACTCCGCAAAACAGAGAGCGATTCGAGTTTGCGTATTCTTGCTGGACAATTTTTTTCTTGTGGGCAAATCTTCTTTCGTAACTTAAGATTTATTTTAGGTAATTTTAAATAAAATTTTTTTTAAATTCCAATTGTTTTGATTTTTTGGACAATTTTACTTTTAATTTTTAATAAAATACACATCATTGGCTCATTTTGTTCTTTTTCATGCAACAAAACTATTGTTTTGACAAATCAAATCTGATTGTTTACTGTTTTTCGAAGGGAGGTTGTCTGTTTACTACTGTCTCGTTTATTAAGAACAAAAATAACAAAACTAACTCTCTGAGAAAATAATTTACTGGTAATGAGAAATACAAAGTTTGGAAAATATACTAATTTGTCATTTTATAGCAGTTATTATTATTCATAGTTCTGATTTTTTTTAGGGACGAGGAATGGAGAAATATTCTTTATTTTTTCACCTTACCTAAGTAGACTTCCAATACCAATTTTACAATGAAAAAGTATGGACTACAGGGTGATATGAAAAACTGCAACCAACTTCAGACTGCTGTCATTTCTATGCCACTCGTCCGACAAGCGTTCAAAAGCATTTTGGTGAGAATTTTCCAGAAAAAAAGTTATTTGTGATGGAATTCAAGCGTGATGCTGTGATTTCTTTATATTTGGCTGGAAAACCACAAGTGGCTATCGTTAGAGCAATCCAGCATTTAAATGTGAGTAAATCTTTTGTGTCTCGTGCCAACGCTCGTTTCCGTGATACTGGTAGAGTAGCCCAACGCCAAGGAAATGGACGAAAGAAAACAGCAACATCAGCAGAAATGGTTCGAAAAGTAATGAAGCTACTTTATCGAAACCCACGTCGCAGTGGCCGAAAAATGGCTTGTGAGCTGAACATGTCGCAATATTCCATTCGGCATATATTGAAAAATGAGCTCAGGGTAAAGCCATTGAAATTGCAAAACATGTGCACCTTCGGTTGGCCACCAGAACTCAAGCGCCGGCCATGGTGACGGTATGGGCCGCCATAATCGCCGATGGTCACTCTCCGCTCGTATTAATCATCATCTGATCGTGGCATCAGAATAAATGCCGAATATTATCGCGAAAATATTCTGGGCACGCAAAAATTTTGGCCGCAGACCTTGGACAATCCAACAGGACTTAACACCATCGCACTCAGCACACCCAAGTACGGTTACAAAATGAGGTTCCTCGCTTCATTTCCAGCGCACAATGTCCACCAAAATCTTCTTCTTAATGAAAGAGATATTCTTAAGAAATTTTTGAAATAACTTTCCTGCGTTGAATTTAAACTCATTTAATAATAGATCTAGACCACTAGATCTTATATTTTGTTGTTCAAAGTGTGAAGGTAACGGGACACTAATTTCACATTCTTTGAGAGTAATTACTCTTCCAAATGTTGACGAGAAGGAATGATCCGATATCCCATAGGGTTATGAAAATACCGAATATCGGTGGGTATCGTAATATGTACGCTATAGGAAAATATTAAATGTTTTGTCACCGGAGCTAGAACCCATTATGAACTAGAAATACCAACAATTTCGTGGAATTATGCACAAAGCTGAGCTCGAACTTTGATCAATTTAAAACTACTTGACGGCTAGGCATGGTGAACTTGATGAAATAAATGAATGTCACAACAATAGCGAAAAAAAAAACTCCACGGTTAGAAAATACAACGGTAATAAAATTGCAAATGCTGATAAAGAGGAAGGAGATTAAAACAACTACGTTTGAAACAAAAACTTTAGATGGGCGAGACGGACGTCGCTCCACCTTGCTAACGGGCATTAACTATTATTACTAATGTTTGTTGTAAATGTTGTTACATTTCTTTGAACGGTGAATGTATGTGGCCGTTGGTGGTATCTGCAACCCCACGCAAAATCTAATTGTCTGTTTGTTTATTTGCACTGCTTATCAAGGTGGAAGTATTGGGGCTTATGGAATTTAAGGAACTAACCTTGCTATGACCGCAAATAAGTCATTTTGTGACTGGGAGGGAAATAAAGAAATTTTAAAGTTGCATGAATGTAAAAAAAAACTTTTAAAAAGTTAAGAATATTTAAGGTTATAAATTTAAGATTTTCTAATTTTGGGCATGTTTCTGTATGTCAATACGAAAATAAATGCGAAATGATTTTTTCAAAGAAACATTTACAAAAAACTAATTTAGAATCGATTTTTCGTTCGCATTCACTTTGGTAACGACATAAAAAACAGACCCTTTATTTTTTTAAATTCGTAAATATATCCATAAAGGAAAACGTTATCAATATCGCTTTCAACAATATTGCAATTTACACATGCATATATATATTGTTGCTCCCACAACAAGTTTGTCATTTAAATTAGAATTTAATTTATGCACTTTTGTTTGAGATGCAAAAAGTCGTTCAAACCCGGCCGGGAGAGACACACATAGATAGATTTTTCATTTCAAAATGGATATAGACCCTACCTAGCCAAGTTTCAATGTTTGTCTGTGCACTCGGATGACGACTTATAAACACGCGCTTATCACGTTAGTATTCCAACAATCTTACGTGATAGTTACATATGTAGGCACCTCGAGTTCTCCCCAGGCCCCCCAATCACGTCCCTCGACTTTGTTGTTTATTTTCTATTTAATAATTTTTCCATGCAAAAAAAAAAAGCCGCAACAGTATTTTTTTACAGCTGAATGGCTGCCATTAAAAACCGTGAAGTGTTTTGGTGATAATTCACCATAAGTATTAGATTAAAAAGGGATTTCTTTTATTTTCAAAATGTGCATTACAACATCAACAACAATTGATGATAATGACGATAGAAGTGCTATATTTGTTTTTCAAAAATAATTCAGTGTAAATTGGTATTCAGGAAACGGGAGAAATGATACGAAGTTTAGTATACTCTCATACCATGGTAGAAGAATATAGGTAGACGCGTCGACACAGCTGCTGGGACAATGAACTGTCAAACCAATTTTGGAATTGAAAATGTTGAATGAAAAATTATTTAAATTTGTAAAAATTGTTGAAAAACGCGAATTATAATAGCCTCCGAATGACGTAGTATAAGAAAACATATAAAAATCTACTTATATTTGAAAAAAACATTTAAAATTTTTTGACATATCAATGCTCCCAAGCGTTGATGCATCTACCTGTATTCTTCTGCCATGACTCATACATTACCCAAAGCCGAAAAAAATGTTTCATTTATAAACGGTATATCATGTAATTTTGAATAACTGAAAGTTAAACGAAAATTAACAAAATTCTTCTTTACTTGCCAAAATCAAATTATGTAGTTTTGTTTATATACATCTTCAATTGTTTGTTAATATTTTCTATTCTTGATTTGAAACAAGAAACATTTAGTTTGTAATGCGAATAGTTATATTTCTAATCAACAAACTACTCAAAACATTTATATGTTTAGTTCATTTTTTAAATAAAACGTTAAATACTGTTATTGTAATAGGGTCAAGAAATGCAAGAACGTTAATGTTAATGATTTCCCCTTTATGATATCGAAAATAATTGCAAAAGTAGTCGATTCTTGCAGGTACTGGAATAAAGCAATTGTTCGTAGATGTATGTGTTCAATATATTGGATTTTTTTAATATAAATTAACAATATTTTTGACACTGAAAGACCAGAAAAAGGACCCAAATATTTCTTTCATTAGTTCTGGACATGGTACAATGAAATAAAGATAACCTCATATAAAATTAGCATTCTCAGCTCTGTATTTTCTGTAATTTACATTGTCAAATTTCAATGCATAAAAAATAGTTCTCATCTCTGATTATGTGGGTATACAGGGTGAGATAAAAAAAACTGCAATAAAGTCAAACGCCATCATGTTTTCATTTTTTTTAATTTCATTGAATGAAAGCAAAAAAATTCGGAAATAGCATAAAATTTTGAAATAAGTGTAGATTTGTTCGAATTGGTCACCTTTGGCACGAATTATGGACTTCAAACGGCCAACGAAACCGTCACACTTTTCCCGAATGTTGCTCTGCGGTATTTTGACACATTCCCGGCGAAGCGCTTGCTTGAGGTGATCTTTTATATTTTTAGGGGCCAACCTTACTTTCCAAAATACTCCAGACACAATAGTCAAACGGATTGGTATCCGGAGATATTAGTGGCCAATGTGCGTTGAAAATGAAACGAGAAACCTCATTTTGTAACCATTCTTGGGTGGTGCGTGCCAAGTGCGATGGTACTGAGTCCTGTTGGAATGTCCAAGGTCTGCGGTCAAAATGTTTGCAAGCCAAAAGCTTTAATACATCCTCCAGAATATTTTCGCGATAATATTCGGCATTTATTCTGATTCAAATTATAAGTGCGCATTCAAAAACTATCATAGTTTGTATCATCTACCTAACAATAAACTCCCTATATAAACGTTTATTTGATACGTGTATCAGTACTAAACTATCACTGGGAACTATCCAAATTATAAGCATTTAGAAATATTCATGTTCTCCATAATTGTCGTAAACTAGCTGGATAATCACACTAAAGTATCAAAAATTATAATTTAAAATTTTTACTACCATAACCTCTTAAAAAAAGCAAAAATGGTAGATTCTTGCACGTTCTGGAACAAATCTCTTATTTGAATTTTATTCACACTTGTATCATCAAAGAAACTGTCCCTAAATAGCGTATTATAGTATCATCCCCAGATTAGTGTAAATCCAATTTATTTATTAAATGAACAAAAATCTACGGAAGTCGAGAATCGATAACATATAAATTGATTAAAAACTTCAAACCAACTTTTTGAACCTTTAAACCCCTATAATACCGGTCTCTGCGCCTTTGTTTACTTCTCGATCTATAAAGCTCTAATACCGTCGCCTTTTCTGTTTTGATTCTATAACTTTATTTCTATTTCTCCCATGCCCAGTCGTTCGTTTCATATGACTTATGAAGTAACCATATATGTCATATAAGTAATTAGTAACCAGATAGTTCTTACAGCTGTCACTGAGCTCGAAGACTTGGAACATATGACAGTTGCTCTTTCACCATCAAATTTATTTATTAAAATCTCCTTTCAACGTAACTTGTAAGCATTTGTTGAATCAAAAATGAGTATCTGTAGCCTCCGAGGCAGTCAACTGCAGCTATGCAGACGTGCATTTATATTATCCAGCTGTAGCAGGCCGGCAGCGTTCCAACCAGTTGCGGCAACCAAGAAAGGTAAGACTGACAATGTTACGTATTGAGGTTATGTGGTGGCTGATTAATTGTACAATAGGATGATATTATCCTGTATTAACAAACAATGCTAAATTAAATTGCATTTCTTTTTCAGTGACAACACGTGAGGCCCACAGCGCTCTATATCAAATGGTAAAAAAGCAACAAAAAATTGAAAACAAGAATCAAGCAAGTTCAAGAAAATATCCCAGAAGCTTTGAGGGACCTAGGAGTCCTGAGGATTGTTCCCTAAGGTCACAAAATTCTCGAAAAACGAAATTTCTAAATGAATGTGCCATTCCATTTTCAAGCATGCCTCCATCAAGTCCATCATTACCTCGTGATCCTGTGGAAAGAGTGAACAACGTCCAAAATAAACCACAAGAAAACTACAATGTGAATAGTAGACAGAATTTATTCCATAGAATCTTATTGAAAAGAACACATTTTTACCAATGAAATTCTACGTGCTTGGAACAACTTTTCTTCCGTACCCTTCTCTGGACAGTAGCGATTGTACCAGTGGTAGTTCCTTTTATCCTGTTTTTGACTTTATGATTTTTTAAGGAGTGCATGATGTATGGGCCTTAACATTTTGTTATATATAACTGACAGCATCACTTTACTTAAATTCTACTAGTGGTCAATTGAATGGGCTTTTAACAAAAATAACGTTCTAGTCTGTAATTTTTATATAAAAAAGAATATTGATTGTGTTAACACCATTAAAATAGATGATTTGATTGTTTATGGCACTCATATTGTTGGAATACCCATCGGTGTCCATGTCGTCGATATAAACAGGATAAATGCAACTACACTTAGTAAATGTTTAGAACAATTCTGCTAGGTGTCCCTAAAGGGTAAAAATATGATCCAAGCGGAATAGTTTGAATAGCCCAAAAGTGTCCTACTATTGCCTGGGCAATTTTTGAACTTCCAATTATACACACATATCTCTTGATTGATTTGGTCTTAATGTTGCATTAAATTATCCATATTTTTGTTAGGAGCTATGCCGTCCCAGACTTTCCTGTAACACTGAAGTACTCAGAGCAGTAAACTGTAATGTTAGCCGAAAAGCGAGCAATGAAAGTAAAGAAACAAGTGCTTGTGATAAATCTGAATCCGGTACATCCACTGGTACTCCAGGAGGTGACAAAGGTGATGATAAAACTAAAACAATTCTCTTAGCTTTGGCAGGTGCTTTAGGCGTTGGCGGTTTGGTAAGTTGTTTGTATTATGTAACCTTCTTTAATTTAAATGCGTTTTTTTTGGAATTTTCTAGTTATACTACTTTATGAACGACAAATCTGATACAACTACAAGTACTTCGCCAGAAATTCCTAAACCCAACTCTGCTGATTTGCCGAAGCATGTACCATATTTATTAATAGGAGGTGGCACCGCCTCGTTTTCTGCATTCCGTGCTATCAAATCGAATGATGCCAAAGCAAAGGTGAGCTCAAGAAAGAACTGTATTTTGTGGGACATACCATTTATTCATAAATAATTTCAAGTCATTTTTTAAGCACTGAATATTGAAATTATAGGAATAACGTTTATTTAATTTTAAAATATTATAAGAAATTTTCGTTAATGATTTTAATTTTTTTCTATCAGGTCCTTATGATTACAGATGAAAATCATAAACCCTATATGCGACCACCCTTGTCCAAAGAATTGTGGTACACGGCGCAAAAGGGTGAAATCAGCAACGATTATCGTTTCAAGCAATGGACTGGAGCAGAGCGAAGCCTTTATTTTGAACCAGAAGAATTTTTCATTGAGCCATCTAAACTTAGCGACAGCGAAAACGGAGGTATTGCCGTAGCTCAGGGATTCAAAGTTAAGAAAGTTGATCCCACCAATCGTGTCATCACACTTAGCGATGGTTATGAAATCACCTATGATCAGTGTCTTATAGCCACCGGATGTACTCCAAAGAATTTGCCAATATTTACAGAGGCTCCACCAGGTGTAAGGGAAAAGGTTATGGTCTATCGCACTCCCGAGGACTTTGAGAAACTTAAAAAGTATTTGGATAACAAGAAAACCGTTGCTATTATTGGTAACGGTTTCTTGGGTAGTGAGTTGAGTTGTTCCTTGGCTAATTACAACAAAAGTAAAACCGATTCAGGTCGCATTTATCAAATATTCCAAGAAACTGCCAATATGTCGAAAATATTACCGGATTATCTTAGCAAATGGACAATGGAAAAGGTTAAAGCTCAAGGAGTTTGTGTTGTGCCCGGTGCCAGTTTAAAGAGTGTGCAAAGAGATAATTCACATTTGAATTTAGCTTTAACTACTGGAGAAACCATAATGGCTGATGTGGTGAGTTTTAAATCATAGTGGATTTTGGATAATTATATAACAGTTTTGTTTGTTGCTTTCTTTTTTCAAGGTGGTTGTTTGCGTAGGTTGTGAAGCCAATACGGAAATTGCAAATGGTTCTGGTTTAGAAGTTGATCAGAATTTAGGTGGATTTGTGGTCAATGCAGAATTGGAAGCTCGTCGTAATTTATTTGTTGCTGGTGATGCCTCCTGTTTCTATGATCCCCTGCTGGGCAGGAGACGTGTGGAACATCATGATCATTCTGTGGTATCGGGTCGTTTAGCAGGCGAGAATATGGTGGGGAAAAGTACGTATCTAAAGAAAAAATACGACATTTGGAATATTGAATATATTTTTCGCTGTGCTTTTTCAGAGAAACCATATGCCCATCAAAGCATGTTCTGGTCTGATTTGGGTCCCGAAATTGGTTATGAAGGTATTGGCTTGATTGACTCGTCATTGCCCACAGTTGGTGTTTTTGCCCTTGCCACCAAAACTGAAAGACAAACAGATAACCTTACAGAGTCTAGTAAAGACGAAACGGAACAAGCCAAGACCACAACTCCTAGTCAAGACGTATCCGATGTTAAGTGTAAAGAAGAACAGGCTGACAATTATGGACGGGGAGTTGTATTCTACTTAAGAGATGAAAAAATTGTTGGCATTCTACTGTGGAATATTTTTAATCGTATTGGTCTGGCACGCACGATTATTAAGGAAAACAAGAAATATGAAGATCTTAATGAAGTGGCGAAACTATTCGAAATTCATTCGTAGATCTATTAGTCTATAACATAGTTATAAATTTGTATGTCCTATGTACTTTGGTAAGGTAGAAATGTTTTTGTTGTTATTTAGAATCGATTTCTTTCCCAGTAAGAAATTGAATGTATTGTACCTACGAACGAAGACAAAATACACAAATAATCCCTGCATTTTCCATGAACTGACAAAACACAAAACCAGCTGCTAATTATTTTAACCCAGTGGTTTGAAGATCGAACTATAGATCCCTGCAATGAACAAGCATTAAATTTGAGCTCTGTCAAGAAAATAATTAAATATTTAAAATTGGAGATTTTTACAAATTGACTGGACTATTTCTTTTGGATATTGGTGTTTGAAGGTCTGGAGCTGTGGCTTTTGGTGGAGTTGGTTTTTCTTCTCACCTTTTTAACCTGTTGCTGTGCATTTTCGTTTGGCGCTCTTTTTTTTTTTATTCATTTGCATCTGCCAAGGTAATCCTGAAAATGCCGTCGCTATTGACCTGTAATGTTTGTAAGGATCATATTGCCAAATCCAAATATAAAATTGGTTGCAAAGGCTGTGCAAATTTTTTCCATTTGGATTGCGTTGGCATTTCTGAGGCTGAGGCTAAAATAAATAAGCAACTCAGATACACTTGTGTGTGCTGTGTTCGGGCTGCTGGTGGTAGTGGTGACGCTGGTGTGGTTGATCGTGGAACAAAAGCGAACACTGCAGTTGATGCATCTAGGGTTGGTGCCACAGCTGATGCTTCTTTGAATGGTGGTGATGAGACAGTTGGTGTGGCTGCGTGTGATTTTGTTGGGAATTCAGATGCTCTGCGAGAGCTGCAGGATAACTTGATTTTGTCTATGAAACAACAAATGGACACGTATATGGCTAGATGTCTGTCTGAATTCCGTACCAAAACTGATGCTCTGTTTGATCTTTATAATGCACAAATATCTGAGGTAAAGCGTGATGTGGTTGAGCTTAAAAAGGCTGTAGTTGAGTTGAAGATGACAGTCTCTGAAGTTAAAAGTACGGCTTTGTTAGCAGAAAAGAAACTTGCTGATAGGATTTCTGAGCTTGAGTCTTTTAACAATGTGCTCCAGCGAAGGCTTAACAGAGCTGATATCATTATAAGAGGTTTGCCGGAAAATATTAAAGACCTCAGGAGCTTTGTTGTTAAAGTTGCTAATTTGTGTGGGTTGCAACTATCTCATGGCGACATGCAGCAGTGCTGTTACATATCTGAACGTAGAGCGGTTTTGGTGAAGTTTAATTCTATTCAGACAAGAGATTCCCTTATCCGCCGATTTGTTAAAAGAGGGAAGGTAACCCTAAAAGAAGTTATGGAGAATTGTCTATTGGAGTCCCGTATCTACTTAAATGATCATCTTGTTAAATCGGCATCTAGTCTTGTTTTTGCCTGCAGAGGCCTGCTCAAGAAGAAGAAGATTAAGAAATTCAGGTTGTTAAATAGTGATGAACCTCAAGTTGAGGTAATACTTGCTGATGGAAGTAAAACAATTTTTGAGCGACAAGAGCTTCTTGAATTTGCTCGTAGTTGTCCTCTGCAACCGGGTGGTGCTCCGTTGGTTGGTGATATGCTGCTGGGAGTGTAGTCATGTAATGTAAATATTAATTTTGTTTTGATCTCATTGGCAATTTAATTGTTTTCTTGATGCAAATTATTGCTTATTTGTTCTAAATAATCTTTCATATTATTATTTATTATTTATTTTTTTTTATTTATATATTTATATTTTTCAATTTTTAGTTTAAGATGCGAAATCGAATTTACATAATTTTGCTCCCCAGCCCCTTTATTTGGTTTGATGTCACTTGATGATAATCTGGGACCCATAATTAATGACGCTCACTTTTTTAAACCCTTATTTGAGGGTTTGTCTGGTAAACTAACGTATGGCCACTTGAACTGCCAAAGTATTCGCCCATCGAGATTCAATAATAAAATTGATGAGCTTCGATCCTTGCTGGTTGGTAGTGGTATCAGCATTTTTGGTGTCACTGAATCTTGGCTTAATTCTGCAGTCTCATCGAAATCGTTGGTTGTTCCAGGATATAAGCTGGTGCGGAGTGATCGTGTTGGTCGTGTTGGTGGTGGGGTATGTCTCTATATTGGTAGTGGCATTCCTTATAAGGTAGTTTTTCGCTCAAATAATTTTGGTGTTTGTGAGTCGGTGTGTGTTGAGTTGAATATTGGGGCATTGGTTTTGCTTGTGGCGGTAGTATATCTTCCCCATGGCGATGTTCAGTCTTTCTGTGATGTACATGAGAGTTTGTTTGATCGCTTCTCTAATATCATTGTCCTTGGCGATTTTAACTGTAATTTATTTGTGTCTTCGAACTCTGTTTCGATGAGAGGATTATGCAGATCATTGGGGCTAACTATTGTGCATAACATGAAACCTACCCATTATGATTTGGCCCATAACTCTACCTCGTTAATTGATTTTTGCCTTACTAGTGATAATTTGTCCTTGGGTTTCTCATCTCAGGGTCGATGTCCTGGTATATCGCACCATGCCTTTGTTTTTGGTTCGCTTAACCTGCCTGTATTTTCAGAGGAGAGATTTATTGAGTATCGTAACTTTGGCCGAGCGGATTGGTTGGGCATTTTAAATTTCATATCCGATTTTGACTTCAACCCCTTATATTCCACTTCTGATGTGAATTGTCAACTTTCACTATTTGATTTGTTGTTTAACGCGCTATTGTCTTTTGTTCCTGTTTCTGTTCGTAAGGTCAACCCCAGGAATGATGCATGGTTGGAATCTGATGTGGTAAAATCGGCACGGATGTTTAGAGATCTTGCGTACTTTGAGTGGCGCAAGCGACCTATGGAGGGTAATAGAATAATATATTGTATGTATAGGAATCGTTGTAAGGCTGTGATGAGGAATGAGAGGCGTAAGTACTATAATGATCTCTTTGGTCGTATGAATAATAATCAGCTGTGGAAATCTCTAAAGTCGTTTGGTGTTTTGGGTAGTGATAATGAAGCTCCACCAATTGATGTCAATGCTGCTAATCATTATTTTTCCAGTGGGAATCCTGGTTTTGTGGGTGAGCGTGGTCAGTCTCTTTATAGTGAGGGTCATGTGGGAGATGATGTTTTTCGGTTTTATTGCATATTTTATTCTGATGTTGTAAGGTCATTAAATAAAGTTAAGTCGGGAGCTGTGGGGGTTGATGGCGTGCCAGTAAAGTTTTTTAAACTTATATTTCCATACATTTCCTGTCATTTCCTGCATTTTGTTAACTCGATTTTTATGACATCTACTTTTCCTCGGGCGTGGAAGGTTGCACGAATTGTTCCTGTGCCGAAAACTGGTGAATCATTTGATTTGCCGAATCTGCGTCCCATTAGCATTCTACCTGCTATGTCAAAAATCGTTGAGCATATTATTAAAGAAGCGATTGTTGACTTCCTTGATGATCGTAGGCTATTGAGTAGTTCTCAGTTTGGTTTTCGGCGGCGATGTAGTACGACCACGCACTTATTATATCTTACTGACATGATCAGAGATGTATTTAATTCATCTGATGTTGGGTTATTATTGGGCCTTGACTTGTCAAAGGCTTTTGATTCGATAAACCATTCCCTTTTACTTGACAAGCTGAGGTTTAAGTTTGGTTTTTCATCTTCTGCGTGTCGTTTAATGGCTTCATATTTGGAAGGTAGGTCTCAGTTTGTTGTTCATTTGGGTGTTTCGTCTGAAGTTTGTAGTGTCCAATGTGGAGTCCCGCAAGGTTCTGTACTGGGACCGTTGTTATTTATTATGTTCATTAATGACATTGTGCACTCAGTTGTTGATGACAGGTGTTGTCTGTTTTTGTATGCAGATGATATTCATGTTTTCTTCAGAGAGGCTGATATTGCTGGGTTGGAAGGGTTGGTTAATTCTATTGTTTTGTCTCTTTCGTCGTGGATTTCGCTAAATGGCCTTATGATTAATTGGAATAAAACTAAAGCTATGCTGTTCAATGATCATGGTAATGGTGGTTCTCTTAATATTACTGTGGGTTCTGTGTTAGTGAAATTTGTTGATGAAATGAAATGTCTTGGTGTTATAATTGATCGGAAGTTGGACTTTAAGAGACACATTGATTCCTTGCTTTGTCGTATAAGGTTTCAGCTGCGGAGGCTGTATTGTCTTAATGCTTATTTGCCTTGTCATGTTAGGAAGAGAGTGGTTGTATCCTTGCTGCTATCGCAGGTAAATTATTGTCTAGAGGTAGTCTCCGGTACTACTTCTTCTCAAATGCAACGTATCCGTAGGGCGGTAAATTCGATTGTTCGTTATGTGTATGGCTTGCGTCGTGGTGATCATGTTTCTTGTTTTGTTAATGATCTCCTGGGATTGCCATTTAGCAGCTACATTGATCTTCGTATTCTTCAATTTCATTACAGTGTTATGTGCAATTTGACTGTCCTCTTCGTGACAACTTTTTGTTTTGTAGATCATCTCGAAATCCTCAATTGTTGTGTCCAAGGTTTTCGTCCTCCATTGGTGAGAGATCATTTGTGGTTAGGGCGGTGAGATTGTGGAATCAGCTTCCTTTGGCCTTACGTACTTTTGCCCATACCAATTATCTGTTTAGGGTTAAAGTAATTGAATACCTTCGCCTAAATATGTAGGCTATGTTTTTGTAGTGGTTGCGTCGGTTTATTATGGGTCTTTCTTTTGCTTTTCTTTTTGTTTGGGCTGGGGAGCCACTATATTATCTTCTTAATTTTATTTGTAGGGTATAATGTGAGTTACTATTTATACTCTGTTTTGTGAGTAATAAAATAGTTATCTCTTATTTTTAGCTCGTTTCTGCTACACTTTTTCACTGCTCTACTAGACTATTGTTTAGTTGGTGATGGTGAATCGAGGTGTAGGGTTCGAGCTTCTCGTGAATTATTAAGATAAATTATTAGGTTTAATATGTTATTTGTTAAGTTGAATTAATCATTCAATTTGTATTATGTTAGGGTATTGTAGATAGATAATATAAGTTATGGGCCCTGTGGGCTTATTTATATTTCTTTGTAAGGTAAATAAATGAAATGAAATGAAATATTGTAATCGGTGCTTGGATTAGGTAAAATCTAAGTGCGTGCTAGTAAATTAGTTAATCTTTAGCTTTAAAAATATGTTACATATGTTCTGTAATACGTTTATGATCAGGTAATAAAAAGTAGGGATTCGCGGATTTTTGCGAGCGATGTAGGTATATTTGAAGAACATATATAAATTCATGGTCAATCGACACACATCATCAGTCTCTGTTCAGCTATGGAAGCCAAATCTAACGCGTTACCTTTGTACGATTACCATCAAAGTGATCGTATGTTTGAGGAAAAGGACCTATTAAGAAAATTAGAAGAAGAAGCTGGTAAGTAATTAATTAGTATAACAAATATGTAAAATAACATTGTCGTTTAATTTGTAGAGCTTTGTATACAAGAACATACTGAAGATGAAGTTACAGCGGCAATTGGTATGATGTTAATGCATTACCAAGCCGTTTCGGATGCTCAGTTTACTCCCAAAAATAAACCCATAGTACAAGGTTCCACTTCCAAACCACCATCAATACGTGAAGAAAATTGTCCACAGACGGTGGCAAAAGAAGACACAATTTTACACAACATTCAGCATACTACCGATATGAAGCGTAAAAATCGCAAAAGTGCCGCAAATAAATCTTCCTCGCTACTTGCCTCTTGCCGAAACATTTTAAAAGAGTTTTTATCACAAAATAGTATGTAGATCACGATGTTATAAACATCATAACAAGAAAAGGTTGCCCTCAAAAACACAAAACAAAAGAAATATCCTATAAGGATTAGCAATTAAGTTAGGAAACAATTTCAATATGATTATTTTAAATATAATTTTAATAAAATTACAAATTATATAAAATGCGAAAGCAAATAACATTTGTTTTTTAATTAAATGTGTTGTGCAAACGGAAAAAGCAACAAGAAACAGATTTTCAAAATGGTTGTAAAAAAATTTAAAAACTACTTAATTCCAATATTATTGATTACAAATTTAAACTTTATATTTAATAACAATCCAAAATGTGGATCTTTTCTGTCACAGAAAGTAGTACACATTGTGAACTCCAAATTTCAAATTTAAAATAATTCCGGTGAAAAGTGCTGTAAATAAAGGGAGGTACCGTTGTTATTAATTTTCTTCTAGTAGAGTTGGAGAGAACTCTAAATACCAACATTTGATACAATTCCAGTTAAAAAAGTCAACATAATACCAAATATCGGGGAATTATATGGGAACTATACCTAAACTGTCCATATAGATAGACAATTCTTTGCAAGGATGTTTCCTACCTAATAGGAACACAAAGTTCCAATTTACAGCGGATTCTATTCAAAAATATGGCTAACCGCCAATACTCCTTCAATCGGGCGAAACATTTTCAATACCTAAAATTCTACGCACCTAAAATGCATTTAAACAAATATTGCACCAACTACTTCATTTCGTTCGAAAGCAAGAGTGATTTCCACAGACGGACGCACTTAGCTAAATTGACGTAGCCTTATGTTTATCAAGAATATACAGGGTGATATAAAAAACTGCAACAAAGTCGAACGCCATAATTTTTAAATATTTTTTTAAATTTTATTGAATGAAAGCAAAAATGTCGGAAATGGCCCATTACAGGCGAAGCGCTTGCTTGAGGTGATCGACACTTTGGTATTTCTTAGTACCAACCTTGCTTTCCAAAATACTCCAGACACAATAGTCCAACGGATTGGTATCCAGAGATTTTGGTGGCCAATGTGCACTGGAAATGAAGCGAATAACCTAATTTTGTTTGCGTGCCCAAGGCTTTAACACACCCTCCAGCATATTTTCACTATAATATTCGGCATTTATTCCGATGCCACGGTCGATTAATACAAGCGAAGAGCGACCATCGGCTGTTATGGCGGCCCACACCATCACTATGGCCGATGCTTAAGTTCTGATGATCTCTTTGGCAAGTAAACACGATCATTTTGTTTGTTTACAAAATGCTGGACAACGAATGTTTTCTCATCGGAGAAAACCAAACTCGGCAGTTCACCACTTTCGTCCAAACGAAGCAACTCTTTAGCTTAACGAAAGCCACTTGTGGTTTTCCAGCCAAATATAAAGAAATCACACTACCAGGCTTGAGTTACATCACGAATAACTTTGTTTCTGGAAAATTCTCAGCAAAATGCTTTTGTACGCTTGTAGACATTATAATAAGCTGTCACTGAAATGATTCTAAAAGCTGTCGGACGAGTGGCTTAGAAATGACAGTAGTCTGAAGTTGGTTGCAGTTTTTTCATCTCACCATGTCATTGTCGACCCCGTCACTTGTCTTGGCACAAATCGATTTTCTATATCTTAAAACCTGACTAGCTCTTTTGAAAAAATAATTTCATTAAAACATACTTGCATTGCCTCTCAAAAGATAAAACACAAAAAGCTCGTTTTTTGTTTGTTTTAAAAGTAATTTTATTTTTGAAGACAAAAGAAAAAAATATTTTTTGTTTTATTCAACTACTTATATTTCATGGTATAATTTGCATTTGTTGTTGTTTTTTTTTCATTGTGTTTAATTAAATTAATTAATTGGTAATACAGCTATAAGCTATTAAATTAAAGCTAAAAATGTGGGGGTTGGTTTTCCAGAAAGAAACAAATTCAAAATGTTCTTTTTGTTTTTGTAAATTGTGTAAATATATGATTTTCTTTTCTTCTTCACTTCCGTTTTGTATTTGTAATGGTAAGTATGTAAATATAAGTGTTGTTGTATGTATATATGCATGTTTTTCCCTTTTATTGTTGTAAGGCTAAATTGTAAAAATTGTGTTGAATATTTTTGTTTGATCTTATGGTTTAGGGTTTTAATAAAACATTTGTATTTATTGTAATTCGTTTTGTTTTTTTCTTGTTTCAGATATTTACAATGGTGTTGGCTATTACTAAACTTATTTTTATAGAAAAAAATAAAAATAAAAAAGAGAAAACAATGAAAAATCATAAAAAATATTGTTTAAAAACTACATAAAATGTTAAGATAAATACGATTTGATTTTCTTTTTATTTTAATAAAAAAATCATTAAATTACTGAAAATATTAAAGCAATTTTATATCAGATTTTCCTTTTCTGCTAAAGTTCTTATTTAAAAAATATTTAATATATAAGTATGTATATGTGTATAAAAAACAGAAATTACTCTTAATGGAAGCCAAGGGGGGAAGAGTTTTTCGTTTGTTTTATTTTTTAAACAATGCGAAATGATTGTAAAACGAAGACATTTGATTCAGTTTGTTTCCAATGACTGGATTTTCCAAAGCTAGGCTTAGGAAAGCAAAATCCAGTTTTAAATGGGATTTTAAGGAGTAAAGACAAATTAAGTGAAAGAACAATCAATAAGCGAATTCATTGAACAGAATTTTTTGTTAATGTTAATACAAAAAAGGATATGTGTACTTTGAATAAAGAATTCTATTTTTTTCTCGTGTGGTATATACTCTCCATTTTGTTAATCATTGCTTTATAATTTTTTGCTATCACATTTTGTTTGCAATTATTATTTCTTGTATTGTATTTTTATAATTATTTATATTTTTTTTCTTAGACAAATTTCAAATTGGTTAAAGCTGTTCCAGGGTGAAAAAAGCTTTGTTTCTAATAAATACAGTTATTTTTCTTTATAAATTGATTGATTTCAATATGTATGTATGTATGCATGTATATAACAAGTAACAATTTTTGTTCTTATTCTTCATAGGGGGTCATCATTAGGGAAGAGGTGTGGGGGTCGATTGGAGGTATTACGAAACCATCGTTAACAATAGGAGGGGACATGGTTCTATTATTTGCATAGCTTATATAGTTTTAGGGGGAAAATCATCAATTCATCTGTGTTTTTAATAAGAATTCATTTAGGAGTCCTATATTCTTATACTCCTCTATTTAAAAATACCTATTTTTGTAATAAATTGTACATTAGAATAAGAAAAGATAAACTTCTAAATTGGCACATTTCGTAATTTCCTAACAATTTAACAAAATTAAATACAGAGTATAAACATTTCTTGTTGTTCTTTTTTTTGGAAAATTTACACAGAAAGAAACGAAGACCAATCTTTGTTTGTGGCTTTTGTTTTCCTAATCACAACAATCAATCGAGGTATATATTTCAGAGTACAGTAACAGCAGCTACAGTACACAAACGTCGTTCTAAGTTACCTATGGAAAATGTACATCGTTTGTGTCAATCTGTAATCTTGGAAATATTCCAGTCCTAAAATGATTGTCGTGGTGTTTTTTTGAACATATTCTTCTTTAATGCGTATTTCCTTTCAGCTTTGCTTTCTATGGGGGATGTAAGGAAATTACTTTCTCAAATCTGTGGCGCCCATGCTGTCATGGCTGGGACTGGATTCCATTTCACTGGATTCACTGTCCATGGGCGTTGGTGTATTGCGCTGTTGCTGCTGTTGGTTGTCGTTACTGTCATTCAGGCCTGAATTTTGCTGTTGAGTTCCAGCTCCACCTTCGCTTTCATTGTAACGTATTAATTTAATTGTGGTCAAGCCATCAGCATTTCGTATCAATCTAAAAGGAAGAGAAAAATAATCGGTCAGTAAACGGGAACTTTTAAGATGTATTTACGTTTTAATTAAAAACTTGAAATCTGAAATTGTCCCTAAGCTCTTAAAAATCTCATAGAAATCTTTAAAGGTTTTGTAATTTCTGCTAAATATACTTGCTAAACATTCTGTTTTAATAGTCTGACAAACGAACATTTCTGGTGGTTTAGCGTTAATTTTTATATTTTGTATAACCGCAAAAAATAAATTTATACTAACAAAACCGAAATTAGAAATAATGATATTTACTTCAACAATTAAAATTAGAAAACAAATTCCTTAAAGATTATTAAAAAACTAAGGAATTAAAGAACTAAGAAATTTATATTTAAATATATTTCCAAACAAAAAGCCTATTTAATTTTTCGAAAAAGAAAATAACTTACGGATAGCAATCGTCATTAGCTGATGGACTGGAATAGGGTCTCTTCTCGACACTACTACTGCCGCTCACACTCAAATCTGTGGGTTTCATTTCATCGGATGCTGCACCGGATGTCTCGTGCGATGTTACTGAATTTTGTTCGTTTTTCATGATATTGAACTGAAATTTGTCATTGGGTGTTGTGGGCAGAGCGGCTGGGGAATTCGGTGGCACACCGTTGGAGGACAGATAGTGGAAAGCTCCATTAATGGCATGCATGAACAGCGGTGATGATGGTGGTGGGCCATAGGCGGCAGCAGCAGCTGCTGCCACGGCAGCGGCAGCCGATGATATGCTATTGGGCAAAGTCAAGTGATTGGGATTGCCTTGTGATGAGGGCCTCTGTGGAGTCTGCATTTGGCTGGCTGGAGTTTGCGTTGGCATAGCCCAGTTGGTACCGTTGGAGGTTGGTGAGTTTGTAATTGATGATGGTGATTGATTTACATTAGAGTTGCTACCATTGGAATTAGTAGCCCCAGGACTGCCATTTGTGCCATTGGTCTGGCCCACAGATTGTCGTAGCAGGGAAATATTTTTAATGTTTTTCAGTTCCGTGGGATTTCTCAAGAACTGATAGCAATGACGTTCACCTTGGACTTTGCGCAAAATGTTGACGCGGTAATAGTAACGCAAGGCACGTGACATCTTGTCATAATTCATGGACAAATGGTTCTTTTGAATGCCCCACAATTTGGCCAAACCAGCAGGATCCACAATTTTAAAGACGCCAGTATCACGGCACTTCCAGGCAATCAAGTCACTGTATTTCTGGTTGCGGTCGTTGAGCAACTGTTGCAAGAAGTCCCACAGCAAGCGACCATCTGAGAAGAGAGAAAAAAGAAGGAGAAATCAGTTGTAAATCCCCGAAACTCGAAGATGTGATGGCAATAACTTACTTGTATTGGGTTCTGTATTTTCTGGGAAAAATTCACGTTTTACTGGTTGCATATAACGATTGTCAGTTTTGTCGGGGAAGAACTCCCTTTTCACTGGTTGCATGTAGCTTGGCGTGGTGGGAGCTGATACCGAACCACCGCCCAGATTGGGTAACTTTTGCTGTTCCAAATTCAAATGTTGTTGCTGCTGTTGTTGTTGTTGCTGCTGAGACCACGAATTAACAAAGGTGTTCTTGATCTGTTGCTTCAGGCTTTGTGGCATATCCTTGAGTATGGGCGTTGTGGGCGGACTGTTGTTATACTGGGCCACGGCTGCGGCAGCAGCGGCTGCCGCTTGATACGATTGGGCGGAGAAGTTCACAATTGTACTGTTGGCTGCAGGTGGTTCAGAATAGCTTTCTTCATCTGAATCCGAATGATGACTACTGGCACTGGTGGCATTATGATGTTGCTGCTGCTGCTGTTGTTGTTGCTGGTGCTGATGCTTTAAGGCACTGAAAGCATTGTTGGCGCTCAACGCCGCTGCTGCTGCTGCCGCCGCAGCTGCTGTAGCTGTTGCAGAAGCTGATGAAGTGCTACCCGTGCTACTTGTGCTACTGCTACTACTGCTGTTGCCATTGTGTGCCGACGACGATGATGATGACGACGACGAGGAAGAGGGTGAATTTGATGTTCCATTCTGTTGTGGTTGTGATTGATCATGGCTTTGGGGCGGGCTACTGGCTTGCGAATCTACGGAAGGCGGGGGACTGAGGGTCACCGAATTGGGTGCCATGAAATGATGTGGAGCTAAATGAGAGGTCTGATGAAAGGCACTTTCTGGCGCTCCTATGGGCGGCCAAGTCGGGGTAGGTGGATGGCTGTGCGGCGAAAGGGGGTAACGGCTGGTTGGTGTGACAGGACTATTTGGTAAATGCCACTGCATCATATGCGATTCGATCACCAGCATTTGTAGGACATTATGCAAGACATCGCCAGCTCCCGGACACCGATGTCCGAAATCAGCTCGTGTCAGCAGGCACAATGCCTTACCATTCATTTGGAAGAGATCATAATCGACTTTGGGCAAATCGAACTCACGTTCGCAGAAATGCAAGAATACGGCCACATCTTCGCGACTCCACAGGCGTGGATCTGACGGCAGTGATGGTGGCAATTGTGTTTTAAGCTCGGCCAATTGGCTGGGCTGTGCTGGAGGACAGCGCCACAACATATCGCTCCATAAGCCTAAAGGCGGATTCAGTGATAACTGTACCGGAAGCATTTTCATTTTGATTTTGTTGTAACAATTTGGAGAATATTTTTCGTTCGCCTCGTTGTTGCTGCTAGATTTCACGTCAATTTAATCCAATGATAAGAGAATAAGAATTCGACAATCGTATCATAGGGATAACATTGAGGTGATGATTTCGTAGTTGATTGAGTGTTTATTGGAAGACAGTCACAGATTTAAAGCTGAAAAGAGAAAAGAACAAAAAATTAGGAATTATATTTCAATTTCAAAAAAATGTAATACTTGTGTTATAAAATGTATTTAAATATTAATAAAATAAAATGCATTTTAATAAAAAAATTTAACAATTATTGAAGTGCTAATCCTTGGGACGACAAGATTTGAAAATATTGAAAAAAACAAATATTTGAAAGCTAGCAAATTAGTTTTAGATAAGATAGAGTCCACAATTTGACCTGTCTAATGAATATATTAAAATTGTTTTATTTGTAAAAATTATTAATTTAAAGGTACATGTTTCATACCAATATTGTTCATATTATTGGCATATTATTGGCTTTTTCATTGCAACATATAAATAAATAAATGAAATGAAATATATTCTTGATTATATACTGATGTAGTTTCTCATATATGCTCTGTTCCAGAACTTGCAAGAATATATTTTTTTTATTTTTTCGATATCATAAAGAAAAAAAAAATCGGTTATGGTAGTAAAAAATTACACTCTTGCAGCTCTGGTACGGATCAAATGTTACCAAATAGAAAAGTATCAATTAAAACGATAAAAAATTAATGATTGAATATTTTTGAATACAAAATTTATTGCTTGTGAAAAACTTGTATCTCCAATTTTTATACATCAGTGCTTTGGCGATTTTTCAAAGATTTTTCCCACTTTTTTATTGTCTTGTTCTCACATCATTTATTTATTATTCTGGGTAGGTATTTTGTTATCATTTTGCTAATTCATGCTCCAATTGTTTATTTTCACTGGATTTCCTGTATCCTGTATTTCCAACACACTTTGTGTATTTTTCTTCTTTGGATTTTTAAAACTTTATTTATGATTCATATTTCTTAGTTTTCAAATATTCAATTTTCAATACATTTCAGATCACATTTCAACAAAAAAAATCAAATGTTTTCATTTGTTTTGATTTCAAATAGTGATGTTGTAGTCGTTGTTACTTTTGTATTTGGGCAAAATGTTTTGTGGGTGTAAATTTGAATATTGTTTGTACTTTTTCAAATTAATATACAAACATTTGTATGTCTGTACGTACGTGTATCGTACTACATCTATATATCTAAATAGCGAGTAAAGACACCACAACAAAACGCGTCAGAGTCTTTCTTCATCGAAAAAATCGGTCACTTCCGTTTCGAAAGCAGGGAAATATTTTCACACACAAAATACAAATCGTTGAAGAAACAACAGCAACAACAAACGTACATACATAAATAAATAAATAGAATATGTGCAAGACGTTTACGCGCGAGAGGAGCAATGCCGTCGTCGTCGCCGCCGCCGACACAGATGTTTAAGATTTTAGGAAATCGAAATCAAATTTCAAATCAAAACCCAAACAGAATAAGACGGACGAATAAATAAACAATCACATCCGTCCGCCGTCCAACAACCAACAAATAATGATTTTTTCTTTTAATTTTTGGTTTCTTTATAATGTTTTATGATTTGTTGTTGTTGGTATTGTTGTGGTATCCAAAAGAAGCAGAAATTACGAATTATTCAGCAGCAGCCCACAATGTTTTTTTTTTTTTTTTTTTCAAATTGTTTTAATTAATTTTTTGTTTAAAATATTTTAGCACCAAGCATAAATACATACATCCACACATTATTGGGCTTTAAGTTTTGAATATTGTTTTTCTTTTCTTATTATTTTTTTTAAATAATTTTCTATTTTTTTATAATTAATTAATTCAAATTATTTATCCACCTTTTTGTTAATAATATTTTGTTGTTGATTTGTTTTGCGGCACCACAGGCAATGTTGTTGATATTCGAAAATAGCTTTGGTGTGTTGTTGACTCAACGATGCTGATGGTGATAATGAGACAGTGTTGACGACGATGATGAGTATGGCAAATAATATTCCGGAAAATGAGAACTTTTGTTGTTGGCTGATGGTGTTTATATCACAAATTAAATATATGTTTGAAAAAAAATTAAAATATTCGTTCGTTTTTTTTTTCTTTTCTTCGTTGGGTGCGCGCAATAATGACGACACGGGCGAGCACACGGACAACACGACACAGACGATGTTGCTCAGTAAACGTTTAACTTCTTATTGAACACACACTTGAACTAAATATTCGAGTGTAGCAAAGACACGGATTTTGAGCATTCAACAAAACACCACCACACCAACAACACGAACATGCTGAGAACGACGTCGGCGATGATGACGTTGTCGACAACAACAACAACAGCAACGACGTAGTCGTCGTTTTCGTCTCCAAACAATGTTTGAAGAAGAGGAAGAAAAGCCAAAAAAAAGAAGAGAGGAAGACAGTTGACGGTAATGGCGCTGCTGGTGCTAGAGTAGAGTTTGTGTTTGCTGGATATAGCTGGTGGTGTGTTGGCGGCGGCGTTGACGGTGCTGACACAAAACGAACAGCTAGGAAACACAACATTTAATGCCCTCTTCTTCTCGCAACAGCGATGGTAAAATTAGAATTTTAAAGGTGTGGTACGATTTGGAGAGTGAAAGAGGTACGTAAATTGTACACTGTCTTTGTCATACCTAGAATATCTACAGCAAGACCTATACAATTTGACAACGAACTAATATAACGGCTACATTCGGTATTTTTAAGATTTCAAAAGAAATTTTAACGGATTTTATTTTATGAAAATTTATAAAATCCTTTCCCAATGGTGAGGAGAATTCAAAGATCGGGTCGGCCGAATTTACAGCTTTTTTACTAGTTATATCTGAGTTCAAATAATTAATTTAGACCCCAAGTACACATTCATGATCAGTGTATTATTCTAATTCGATGTAGCCATACTAGTCCGTCTGTTGTACTGAAGGTGGTATTCAAACTACTCGATTTCCATATTTTGGAATGGTTGCCAAATACTTTGAGGATTTGAGGTTATTTGATATTATTTTCAATTTTTCTCAAACGCAGATTTGGTGTTATAGCTGGGTCGTGAACTTTAATAAAAATATATTGGAAACGTTTGCTCATGTTTAAGTATATCCGCCCGATTTATACCACATTTTTGTTCAAATCGAATTGAATTGGTAGGTAGAGAGTAGAAATCAGGTTCCAAAGAAATTTCCTTTGGTACAACTTTAACCTTCAGACGAATTTTTGGATTATTGATACAATTGCTGTGCTAAATCATATTCAATATTTTTGCATATATTCAAATTTTTGCAAACGTTTACTGATTTCTCAGATCTTTGCAGTTTTACATGGAACTCGCTAAATTTTAAACATGGTAATAGCATCTCTTCTTCTTTGTGCCGGGTGTCCGAATATTGGGTTAATTTTTAAGCACAAGTGTACAAAAAATGTCCATCTCTGTTACATAGCAAACAACACGAAGCAGCAGCGTCGCAGTCGTTATGCACATTAAGAATACCAACATCAAGAGAAAATACATCGACAACAAGAACAACAACACAAAAGAAAATCATATCCACCAGCCTTAAATGTTCGTTATGGAATCTGGCTGAGTTTAAAATACGTTTTTGTTGTCATTGGATGGATAATTTAAAGAGTGTTACTGGTTTCGGCCTCCCTTACAAATCCATCTGTGCCTTCCTTGTCTGTCCTGTTCCGTATGACAGCGAGCAAGCAACAACAACAATACAAGATTTGCCTTCGCTACCTGCAAACAAGTCTTATTTTTTTGCTTGGTTATGTTTATGTTGTCTTTTTTTAGTTGTTTGGTCTTCGTGCTGACGCTGATGATGATGATGCTGCTTCTGACGTGGTTGTTGTTGGTGGTGCTTGTGGACCTAGACAGACATTAAACGGAAGTGAGCGCATTCCTTAGTAAAACATCATCAAGAGTTTTTTTCAACATTGTGCAGCAGAGCAGAGAGAGGGAGCGAAGATGCTTGTGATCAATACAGACATGCCACCACACATCTCAACCCGGACCATCATCGATTCATCCACACCCATATTGAAAGCAACTTTCTGTTGGATTCAACCGATCTTCATTTGAGGAACATTAACAACTATGTCCCAGGGATGGGAAATTGAAGCGTTTGCAAAATTTCGGAGCATCTGTTTTGAGGACAGATCGGATCGAAAAGTAAGCTTTCAAACAAATGTTTGTTAATAATGAAATAAAGATTGGTGAAAAGTAAAGTATATAAAACTTTTTTAATCAACTTCTAAAGTTTTTTGTTGAATGGATTTATAAAATGGAGAACCTCCTTTGAGCTCAATCTACTAACCAGCAATTTCCTAAAATTAAGCATTTTAGGCTTTGTCTAAAAATGCCCAAAGATCTGTTGTATATATCAAAAATTTACACATCCTGCGTAAATTGAACTCAAAATGCCCGTTTTCCATTTAATCTAAAAAATTGCCTTGGATTTCGAAAACTAGTTACCTTTAAAAAATACTAGCTGCACTGATCCACATTAGACTTCATTTGTTGAAAAAATGAGATTTTCCATCCCTGATCAGTGCATATCCTAAACGGCAGGGAGGACGAAAAAATAATATCATAAAACTTGTTTTCCTTTCTTACGACTTTTTTAGAAGATGTTTCAGCAGAAGAAGAAGAAACTGCTCAAGACGTTGGTGACCGAGTAAAATGAAATTAAATCCCAGTCATCCGCCATACACACATCCATCCACTTACAAATGCGCCATACCAAGAAGCAACAAAAACACAATATGAAAAACGCCACACAAGTATGTATCTTTACATTCAAACATAGGTACATATTTGTTGTATGTTCGGATGGATACATACAAACAGACAGACGGACACACCGACATACTTATTTGTCCCCTTCCTTACCTAATTTTCCACAGATAAAGACGGAACGAACGGTTACAACAGCAACAACAACAACCAAAGCAAAACAAAAGATCCGTATTGATGACGATCATGATAATTGTAATAGTTGTTGGTGGTGTTGCTGTTGTTGTTGTTGTTCTTATTTGTTGTAAGAAGTAGAAATTGGAGATGTTGATGGGGCTTATATTTCAAACACGACTCAATACAACGCATGGAGAGTAAAAGAGAGAGAGCAGTGCTCAACAAATACACCTTGTCGCATTGCAAAGAGCTGCAGAGAGAGCGAGAGTTGTTCAAAGGAAACAAGTGAGAATAAACGAAAAGAAAACAAAACAAACCATCATTAAAACTGCTCTTCAAGCCGTGGTTGTGGCTGTTGCCGCCGCCGCTGCTGCTGATGATTGTGATGATGACGACGATGACGTCGACGACAACGAAGCAGGTAAAAATATTTCATTTAGAAGAGGGGCGAACAGAAGAAACCTGTCATTTCAGATTCTTTTTTTGTGATTTCATTTTAGAAAAAAAAACCTAACAATAAAAGAAATGAGATAATGAATACCAAACGAAAATCCAACCCCTCCCTTTGAAGAGTTCGGTTGCGTGCATGTGTGCTTGTTGTTGTTGTTTTTCTTCGTGAAAAAGGAAACCCAACCAGTCAATCACTACCGGTTCATTGGTTGTATGTTACGTTACACGACGGCGATAGACCCCAACCCAATCAATTATTCGGCTAGATTTTGAAGTCGTGTTTTTGTAGAAGAAAATCAATTCGAGGAAATTACCAACACTTGCTCTCCAACGGTTTTTCTCACGAATCTGTGATAGTTTTGTATCGTTCGAAAGGAAATGAGAATTAGAGGTCTTTACATTACACAGGTGGTTGGTGTTTCTTTTTCTTTTGGGAGGGGATTGGTTTTCAGATGATCCATAACATATTATTGAACAGCTGCATCGTTGTCACCGACGACTGCCATGAGATGATGACACACTGAACGATTGAAAAACAATTATTGAAAAAAATGAGTTGGTTATTGTTTTCGGGGAAAACCTATCCCAAAAATGAAACAGGTTTGTGTGTTACGTAAAATTTTTATTTTGAATCTTGGCAATAAATTAATTAATGACAGTGTAATTATTTTAGATTGATTTTTTTATGCGATTCTTGTAATAAACTAACCACCTTTAAGATAAGCTCATTGCCTATTGGAACAAAGCTAAGCGATTGATTTTAATGACCATTTTTATTCACCTCTTATTTCCTACCATTATCCCTAAGAAAGTCTAGGGGAAATATAGTCTAATTGGCTATATATGTATTTTGTATTTATACTCGATGCTCAGTAGTGAAAATAACCCGTACTCGATGCAAAAATTAAAAAGCATCCATGTATTTGATGCAATAAGGAATTGTAATAATTTGAGCTCTAACAGCGCAAATGTTAACAACCGAATTATCATACCTTTATGATTAGTATAGGCTAGGGCCATACAAAAACATGACCAGTATAGACCAATTACCTGCCACAGAAGGCGGGACCTATTGCGAACTCAAAACACCAACTGTATTAAAATTCCATTGACAATTTGTCTAAATTCATCCAAAGAATACCATATGGGGGGTCTATAATAAATAAAGAACCGATATGTCCCCATTTTTAATACCAAAAACTCAATGAACCTAAAATACAATGAGAAAATTTTTTCTACCATCTGGTCGTAAGCTAGAGTAATATCCACAAACAGCGGACATGCCTAAATCGTCATAGAATGTTATGTTGATCAAAAATATAACAATTTGTCGGTCGAGATTTGCACCTGGAATGGCTTAATATAATATACCCTCCAAACTATGGTGGAGGATACATAATAGGGATCGCGTAAAATTCGGCGTCTGCTGATCAATATATCCATGTGTATGTTTATAAATATGTACCTACTAGGCTCTAACATGATTAGCCAGAGGACAGTTTGGTAAATTCGTTAATCTGTGAGAAATGTTGATCCACCGACAATAATTCAGGTGATATCTGACAGTATAACTACGGTTACTCTATCCAAAAATTTCGTTTTAAATGTGATTCCAAAAAAGCTTGATCTAGATCCTTGTATCAGTAAATGTGCTATGTACGTGGACCTATACAGGCAATTCTCTTCTCGGGGCTAAAGTACTCAGAAGAAACCCCTTGTGTGGATTTAAGACAATTCCATTAAAAATTTAGCTGAAATCATAAAAATTCCGAATATCGGGGGTAGCGTTAAATGGGGGCTATACGATTACAAGAAACTCCTTTCAGACAATTCCGTTGGAAAATGTTGCTAAAATCATCAAAATACCGAATATCGGGAGAAACCGTTACATAGGGGATATATTTGGTATCGTTGACCTATATAGGCAATTTTCTTCCAGGGGGTAATGTACTCACAATAACCCCTTTTGTGGATTTTCAGGCGATTCCGTTGAGAAATGTGGCTAAAATCATCAAAATACAGAATATCGAGGGGTAACGTAGACAATTCTCTTCTAGAGAATGAAGTACTCACAAGGAACACTGTGTGGATTTTCAGACAATTCCGTTAAAAAATGTGGCTAAAATCATCAACATACCGAATATCGAGATGAACCGTTATGTAGGGGATATATGATATCGTGGACCCTTATAGACAAATCTCTTCCAGGCGAAAATGTACTCACAAAGAACCGCTTTTGGGGATTTTAAGACAAATTCATTGAAAAATTTGGCTGAAATCATCAAAATACCGAATATCGGGGGTACCGTTATATGGGGGCTATACAATATTGTGGCCCGATATAGCCCATCTTCGAACTTGATCTGCCTGCATACAAAAGACTTATCTGTGCAAAATGTTAGCTTCCTATCGTAATTCGTTTTGGCTCTATCGTGATTAGAACAGACGGATGGACAAAGCTAAATAGTCTTAGAAATTTACGCTGATCAAGAATATATATACTTTATTATGTCTAAAATTATCATTTCGATGACTTACAAACGGAATGACGAACTTAATATACCCTCCATACTATGTATGGTGGAGGGTATAAAAAAGTTTGGATTATATTTTGAAAAGAAAATCCAGGAAATTCATTTATGGCGTTTTTAAATCATTTAAAAAATTTATTTTTAAATAATCTTGAAGAAGAAAGCAGACAAAGTATTAGGGCTGTAGTTTGAGGAACCTACTTTATCTCCTTATTGTTCCATAGGAAGGTTGCAACAGTTTTTCATCAACAAGGCAATGGCTAATTTTTTTTTTTTTTTTGTATAATTCCTGATATTTATTTATTTACATGACATGGAAACAAAGTCAAGTAGCCAGTATATAAAATTTTAAAAAATAAATAAATACCTACCAACCTGCCCACGTAAATGTCCCTCGCGGGTTAAAAATATGCATTACACCGACATAGGCTAACTAAAAATAAAATGCAATATCCTGTCATTGACTTCGGATAAACAAAACAACAGTTATTTTAAGATTTAATTATGTAAAGTTGTTTCGCCTTCCGATTTGGTTTACTTGGTTATCTTGACACGGCCGTCATCACCAATGGATCTTTGGCATATAAAAACCGACAAAGCAACAATAACAAAAACACCAACAACAAATAAGCCAGCAGCAAAAATACTCTCATAAATAAATAAAACGAACGAAGGAAGGAACACAACAGCAATGCCAACAACAAAAATAATTCTCCGATCTCAGTCAGCAGCAAAGACGGAAACCAAACCGGAGTACAAATGGATGCCTGCCTGACTGCCTGCCTGCCCCTTATGACAAATATTGTTTATGTTTTCTGCTTCTTCTTCCCATACTTTTTGTAGTTCAGTGTTTTTTTTTTCATAAAAAGTATTTTTATAAAAAATACATAACCCAAACACACACATACACCCAGGAGAAGAATCATCGATACGAGAGGATGGAGGTACAGACGTACAAACATGTGGCTGCTGGTCCATACACACATGTGGAAAAAATGGGAAATTGAAAAACAACAAAAACAACAACAGCAGAAGAACCACTCTCGACACCATGCCGCATCTTATTCAAGTGGATATGAGTGAGTGTGACGGTAATGGACGGACGGACGGACGGACGGCACAGGGAAGACACTTTTTCGGGTTTACTTTGAGGGGGTCTCCAAAAAGATGTTAAACATCAACTCAACTCGGATCGTTAGTCCGTCTAATCGACCAAACAACACTTGGCAAGCACATCAAGCAACCGACCGCACATTGCTAGCTGGTTGGGACGGATGTTCCAAGTACGTATGTGTGTGTGCATGGTACAGGGAATTTATGAATTGTTTGGATGGATTGCTGGTTGGTTGGTTGGCTGAATGCCCAGTTTGGAGTCGTCACATGTTGGAATGTGATCATTATTGGTTCTGATATTGTGGGAACAGGTAGCTACATTGTTTGCTGGGTTACAAGATATGTTCAAATTTTCATTTTTGTACTGGGCTATGTTGCTGATCGGCGGCAGCAGCAGTTAGTTTGATTTGGTTCTCTTGATTGTGTGTTTGGTCAATTGTTGGCTGGTCGGTTGGCTGATTGGAACATGTAGGTATGCGGATGGATGGAACCGGTTTGAACGGAAACTAAAGTAAATTAAGAAGCACCGACGATGAGGCAACGGCCAAAGAACAGAACAGAATTTATCCAAGCCCAAAAGGAGGGAGACGAGGAGATCGCATTATAATAAAAAGAAAGCTGAAATTGTACACACATGGTTCGAGTACACCACACAAACAGACAAACCGCACAAGAGCACACAAAGCTCAGCTCACTTCAACGTCCGTTTCATTTTTGTGAAATACATCAATACTGGGGCAAGCAAATACCTATCTTCACACACACGCACACACACATACATGGCTGCTGAATTATTGAGAAAAAATCTTAGTAATACAGGTTGTTTTGCTTAAATGATGCGTAGAAAATGAAAAAGGGGAGAATAATCAAGCGAAAGAAATGTAGAAAGATTCCACCACATGATAAGCAATTGATTTGTTTATGTTCGTTTATTAGGGTGTAACGATACGAAAAGAGAGGCACTTTTGGGGTTAAAAGGGCGAGTTTGAAGGGGGAAATAACTTTCAAAAAGAGGTCGTCGGCCTATAGTTATGTGGAAGAAATTCGGACTGTTAGACCCCTGTAGGACATAGTGTGCTTCAGTAAGCCCTCATAGGTATATCAAAAATGGGAATAACTTTAGTTAAGAAATACTCTTTGATTTTTTCTGGAGGTAGCTATTTTTACCCTGTTTCCGAGAAACTATTTTTTCCTGGAGGACGGACCCAAGACCACAGATTTTTGACCCGAAAGTCCGGGTTCATGACCAGGCTACACCCGGATCCACTTACCGATATAGACCATATAGGTATCATTTGAAAGCAAATAAAAAAGGCTACCTATCCAAAAGTGGTCAAATGATAATTAAAGCTGTTCGGAATTACC